GCATTACAGTTTGGAGGCGCCTCAAAACTAGAGTTACCACCATGCATTACAGTTTTGAGGCGCCTCAAAACTAGAGTTACCACCATGCATTACAGTTTTGAGGCGCCTCAAAACTAGAGTTACCACCATGCATTACAGTTTTGAGGCGCCTCAAAACTAGAGTTACCACCATGCATTACAGTTTTGAGGCGCCTCAAAACTAGAGTTACCACCATGCATTACAGTTTGGAGGCGCCTCAAAACTAGAGTTACCACCATGCATTACAGTTTGGAGGCGCCTCAAAACTAGAGTTACCACCATGCATTACAGTTTGGAGGCGCCTCAAAACTAGAGTTACCACCATGCATTACAGTTTGGAGGCGCCTCAAAACTAGAGTTACCACCATGCATTACAGTTTGGAGGCGCCTCAAAACTAGAGTTACCACCATGCATTACAGTTTGGAGGCGCCTCAAAACTAGAGTTACCACCATGCATTACAGTTTGGAGGCGCCTCAAAACTAGAGTTACCACCATGCATTACAGTTTGGAGGCGCCTCAAAACTAGAGTTACCACCATGCATTACAGTTTGGAGGCGCCTCAAAACTAGAGTTACCACCATGCATTACAGTTTGGAGGCGCCTCAAAACTAGAGTTACCACCATGCATTACAGTTTGGAGGCGCCTCAAAACTAGAGTTACCACCATGCATTACAGTTTTGAGGCGCCTCAAAACTAGAGTTACCACCATGCATTACAGTTTGGAGGCGCCTCAAAACTAGAGTTACCACCATGCATTACAGTTTTGAGGCGCCTCAAAACTAGAGTTACCACCATGCATTACAGTTTTGAGGCGCCTCAAAACTAGAGTTACCACCATGCATTACAGTTTTGAGGCGCCTCAAAACTAGAGTTACCACCATGCATTACAGTTTGGAGGCGCCTCAAAACTAGAGTTACCACCATGCATTACAGTTTGGAGGCGCCTCAAAACTAGAGTTACCACCATGCATTACAGTTTTGAGGCGCCTCAAAACTAGAGTTACCACCATGCATTACAGTTTGGAGGCGCCTCAAAACTAGAGTTACCACCATGCATTACAGTTTGGAGGCGCCTCAAAACTAGAGTTACCACCATGCATTACAGTTTGGAGGCGCCTCAAAACTAGAGTTACCACCATGCATTACAGTTTGGAGGCGCCTCAAAACTAGAGTTACCACCATGCATTACAGTTTTGAGGCGCCTCAAAACTAGAGTTACCACCATGCATTACAGTTTGGAGGCGCCTCAAAACTAGAGTTACCACCATGCATTACAGTTTGGAGGCGCCTCAAAACTAGAGTTACCACCATGCATTACAGTTTGGAGGCGCCTCAAAACTAGAGTTACCACCATGCATTACAGTTTGGAGGCGCCTCAAAACTAGAGTTACCACCATGCATTACAGTTTGGAGGCGCCTCAAAACTAGAGTTACCACCATGCATTACAGTTTGGAGGCGCCTCAAAACTAGAGTTACCACCATGCATTACAGTTTGGAGGCGCCTCAAAACTAGAGTTACCACCATGCATTACAGTTTTGAGGCGCCTCAAAACTAGAGTTACCACCATGCATTACAGTTTGGAGGCGCCTCAAAACTAGAGTTACCACCATGCATTACAGTTTGGAGGCGCCTCAAAACTAGAGTTACCACCATGCATTACAGTTTTGAGGCGCCTCAAAACTAGAGTTACCACCATGCATTACAGTTTGGAGGCGCCTCAAAACTAGAGTTACCACCATGCATTACAGTTTGGAGGCGCCTCAAAACTAGAGTTACCACCATGCATTACAGTTTGGAGGCGCCTCAAAACTAGAGTTACCACCATGCATTACAGTTTGGAGGCGCCTCAAAACTAGAGTTACCACCATGCATTACAGTTTGGAGGCGCCTCAAAACTAGAGTTACCACCATGCATTACAGTTTTGAGGCGCCTCAAAACTAGAGTTACCACCATGCATTACAGTTTGGAGGCGCCTCAAAACTAGAGTTACCACCATGCATTACAGTTTGGAGGCGCCTCAAAACTAGAGTTACCACCATGCATTACAGTTTGGAGGCGCCTCAAAACTAGAGTTACCACCATGCATTACAGTTTGGAGGCGCCTCAAAACTAGAGTTACCACCATGCATTACAGTTTGGAGGCGCCTCAAAACTAGAGTTACCACCATGCATTACAGTTTGGAGGCGCCTCAAAACTAGAGTTACCACCATGCATTACAGTTTGGAGGCGCCTCAAAACTAGAGTTACCACCATGCATTACAGTTTGGAGGCGCCTCAAAACTAGAGTTACCACCATGCATTACAGTTTGGAGGCGCCTCAAAACTAGAGTTACCACCATGCATTACAGTTTGGAGGCGCCTCAAAACTAGAGTTACCACCATGCATTACAGTTTGGAGGCGCCTCAAAACTAGAGTTACCACCATGCATTACAGTTTGGAGGCGCCTCAAAACTAGAGTTACCACCATGCATTACAGTTTGGAGGCGCCTCAAAACTAGAGTTACCACCATGCATTACAGTTTGGAGGCGCCTCAAAACTAGAGTTACCACCATGCATTACAGTTTGGAGGCGCCTCAAAACTAGAGTTACCACCATGCATTACAGTTTGGAGGCGCCTCAAAACTAGAGTTACCACCATGCATTACAGTTTGGAGGCGCCTCAAAACTAGAGTTACCACCATGCATTACAGTTTGGAGGCGCCTCAAAACTAGAGTTACCACCATGCATTACAGTTTTGAGGCGCCTCAAAACTAGAGTTACCACCATGCATTACAGTTTGGAGGCGCCTCAAAACTAGAGTTACCACCATGCATTACAGTTTGGAGGCGCCTCAAAACTAGAGTTACCACCATGCATTACAGTTTGGAGGCGCCTCAAAACTAGAGTTACCACCATGCATTACAGTTTGGAGGCGCCTCAAAACTAGAGTTACCACCATGCATTACAGTTTGGAGGCGCCTCAAAACTAGAGTTACCACCATGCATTACAGTTTGGAGGCGCCTCAAAACTAGAGTTACCACCATGCATTACAGTTTTGAGGCGCCTCAAAACTAGAGTTACCACCATGCATTACAGTTTGGAGGCGCCTCAAAACTAGAGTTACCACCATGCATTACAGTTTGGAGGCGCCTCAAAACTAGAGTTACCACCATGCATTACAGTTTGGAGGCGCCTCAAAACTAGAGTTACCACCATGCATTACAGTTTGGAGGCGCCTCAAAACTAGAGTTACCACCATGCATTACAGTTTGGAGGCGCCTCAAAACTAGAGTTACCACCATGCATTACAGTTTGGAGGCGCCTCAAAACTAGAGTTACCACCATGCATTACAGTTTGGAGGCGCCTCAAAACTAGAGTTACCACCATGCATTACAGTTTGGAGGCGCCTCAAAACTAGAGTTACCACCATGCATTACAGTTTGGAGGCGCCTCAAAACTAGAGTTACCACCATGCATTACAGTTTGGAGGCGCCTCAAAACTAGAGTTACCACCATGCATTACAGTTTGGAGGCGCCTCAAAACTAGAGTTACCACCATGCATTACAGTTTGGAGGCGCCTCAAAACTAGAGTTACCACCATGCATTACAGTTTGGAGGCGCCTCAAAACTAGAGTTACCACCATGCATTACAGTTTGGAGGCGCCTCAAAACTAGAGTTACCACCATGCATTACCTAGCATAGCACCAGCTGTGTTAACTACTCACCTTCTGGTGCCTGAGTCGATCTCGAGAAATTAGCAGAGAAACTAAGTCCTTGCCTCTTACCCTACACTGTACAGCACAGCAGCGCCAGCATTCACCTCCTGGTGCCTGAGTCGTAGAACCTGGAGCTTGCCTCCCTCCCCTTGATTCTAGAGTCGACTAAAAAATCACCGCACTGTTCAAAACCCCCCCAGCACTCACCTCCTGGTGCCTGAGTCGAAGACCTTTGACCTTGCCCCCCTCCCCCCGATATGATTCCTGACACTTGTTCTGAGGCATCTCAAAAGATCAGTTTCGACTCTCAAACACCGTTCAGCAGCGCCAGCACAGCACTCACCTCCTGGTGCCTGAGTCGTAGACCCTTGACCTTGCCTCCCTCCCCCCGATACGCACTCCACGTCACCCCCACCCCGACTCCCGCGTCTGTAGTGGAAACGCGGCAAGAAAGCTGGGTTTTAATACAGCGGTTGTTGTGATTCGTGACAAGTCCCAGAAGAATTGATGCAGAAACTCATCGGAGCAGAGCAGGGGGTGAGTTGTTGAAGCATGGATGGGATGGAACATCCACAGCGCATCTTCATTGGGATTTCATACAGACTTGCAACACCACACCCCCAATTCCTATCCACACCCACCTGCCATGCCAGCCAGCCACCTGCCACCCACCTGCCACCCACCTGCCACCCATCTGCCACCCATCTGCCACCCATCTGCCACCCATCTGCCACCCATCTGCCACCCATCCCCACCCATCCCCACCCACCTTCTTTCCATCCCTCCTTGGCCTCCAGCAGCTGCTCCACTGCCCTCTCCTCCTCCTCCGTTCCCCCCTCCCCTGGCAGCAGCACCACGTCCGTGCCTCTGTTGTGGGGGGTGAGGAGAGGGGGGAAGGGGAAATGAAGGACGAAGGAAGAGACAATGAATGAGGAGAAGGAGCTTTGGTTTCCCCTGGCAGAAGCAGCGCGCCTGTGCCTTTGATGGGGAAAGGAGTGAGCGGTTGGAGGGAGGAAGGGGGAACGAGGAGACACAATGAGAGGAGAGAAGAGGAGAAAAGGGAGGTGAGTCAAGAGAAGAGACAGGAGACGGGAAAAGGGAGAAGGGAGGAAATGCAGGGAGATGAGAGGAGGGGAGAGGGGAGGAGAGGGGAGGGAGAGGAGGGTACAAGGCGAACAGAGAGGAAGGTGAGGGGAAGGGGAGAGGAGGGGAAGGGGAGGAGACGTGGGGAGAGGAGGGGAGGGGAGAGGAGGGTAGGAGGCGGGGGCTCACGAGGTGATGGCGAGGATGGGGCGGGAGGCAGCAGGGCTCCATGCCACGTGTTTGACTGCCATTGGCAGATGGATGACCCTCCTGCACCGCGTGGTGTCCACCTCCCACACCCTCACCGTGCCGTCATCACTGCCTGCAGTGCGGTGCAGAGGATTGGAGAGGGGTGAAGAGGAATGGAGATGGGTGCAGAGGAAAACGGATGGGATTGTGTAAAGGGGGGTTGGATGGTGTGGCGTGTGGGGGCCTCCTCTCACAGACAAGCACTGGCCAGAGAGGCCCAGGAACGACTATTGAGGCCAGCGCCTCAAAGGTCCTCTCACAGGCACTGGCCTGGCCAGAGAGGGGCCCAGGAATGTGCACCGCCATCGAAAGCACTCACTCTCTTTTGACTCGAATCACAATGGATGATACCCGAAGCAAGCCAGAGGCCGGAGGGGTGCAGGGAGAGCGATCGCACGGTGGCTTGATGACCTTAAAAAAAGCATCAACTTTTTAAAAACACTTTTTTTTTTTTTTTTTTTTCAGATCCAATCAGATTGAAGGTACCTGAGGCGAGCCATTGCCCTGAAGGGTGCAGGGAGAGCGATCGCACGGTGGCTTGATGTCCCAGGTAGCGCAGGGAGAGAGAGTGCGGGAAGGGACGCAGATCCTTCCTCTTGGGTAACTTGGGAAGCAACGCATCGGGGTCGATCATAATCTGCGGTGCGGAGGGGAGGGACCCATCACAGTTCCAGTAAATGAGAGGCAACAAATGGGAGGCAACAGATGGGAGGCAAGAAATGAGAAACGGAACAAATGAGAGCGCGGTCGGAAGTGGCAAAGATGCCAACACAGTTTCAAAAAGTGCCCGAACACTTCTATCCCAACACCGCACACCCTTCCACCCTGCGACAACGCACCCGGTTCTTCTTGACGCGCGGGCACAGGTAGAGGTCGAGGCAACGTTCAAAGCGCTCTCGGATGAAGCGCGGATAGGCTGGCACGGAACGCAGCGACTTGTACCTGGTGGTGTTGGGAGGGAACGGAGCGGGGGAAGGGAGTGGGGGCAGGAGGGAGATTCAAGATACATCAATACTTGGGCACGCTGCACAAAGAGGTGTACCTAGTGGTGTCACTTTTAGGAATTGTCAAAGGTGGTGGCGGTGGGGAGTCGCACGTACCACCTTCTTCTTACTCCGCCTGGACTTCCCGGTGCGACATGGTGGATGGAATGGAACTTGCAAGGCAACAGATACAGACTACGTACTGTCCATAAGGCCAGCACAGCACAGCAACGCACACTCATCCCTTGGAACAGAACGTACTGCTTGGGCACGAAGAGCGAGTCGGAGGTGCCCTCATACTCCGCCTGCATCATTTTCTCCGCCACCTCCTCCTCCGTGGGTATGTACTCCACTGGCGGGTTGTACGACTCCTCGTGGCCTGACAGGGCAGGAAACAATGTAGGCTTGTTAGGAAGGGCAGAGTCATGGGCCATTGGCACATCTCACACCGCCACCTCCTCCTCCGTGGGTATGTGCTCCACTGGCGGGTTGTATGACTCCTCGTGGCCTGTGCATGGCACAAGGTAGGCGACAGGATGGGCAGGATAGGAAGGGCAGAATTATGAGGCATTGGCATGGGTCAAGCTGCATCCGCCTCTTCCAGGATTTGTCCCTCTCCCCCCCCGGGGTTCTAGGTTTAGGGTTTAGGGTTTAGGGTGCCCCCTAAAAAAAAAAAAAAAAAAAAAAAACATGGGGGGGAAAAAAGCATGGGGGACAAAGCTGACCTGGCAGTTTGGGTTTGGGAGCAGGGACAAAGCTGAGGCAATTGACGTTCTTGGTCTTGTCGGACTGAGACGCAATGGCTTTGAGGTCATCACCTCACCCCACAGCAGGTACACCTTTTTGAGGCGCCTCAGAAACAAACTTCACCGGGCAGTTTAGGTTTGGGAGCTGGAACAAACATCACCTGGAAGCTTGGGTTTGGGGGCGGGCACGAAGCTGAGCCCGTTGACGTTCTTGGTCTTATCGGACTGAGAGGCAATGGCTTTCAGGTCGTCTCCCCACATCAGGTACACCGCCTGCTGCTGCCCCTCGCTCTCTCTCTGCTTCCTCTCTTTCTCCCTCTGCGCCAGCGTTTTTATTGTTCCTTTCCGCAGTCCTCGCACCAGCCGCACTATCTGCGCGTGTGGGGAGGAGAGGAGGGGGAAGTGAAAGGGGGAGTCTAGGGATGTGTGGAAAGGAACTGGTGTGAGATTGAAATCAGAAGTTGTATGGGACTGTGAGGCGATTTTTTTTTTTTGGTTGTCCCCACGCTGCGAGGTCGTCTTGCCTCCCTCACTTCCCCACTGTTACTGCTCCTTCTCCCTCTGAGCCAAAGTTTTGGTTGTGCCTTTACTCGACCCGCACACACCAGGTGCACTACAGGTGCACTATCTACGTGTGTGGTGAGGATGGCGGAAGGGTTGGGGGTTGCGCTTCCCTTCAGGAAGAAGGGGCGCTAGGAGGAGTTAGGCGCCATAACTATATGTGGCAGCGACTGTTAGCGAAACACTTTTTTTTTTTTTTTTTTTAATTGTTGCCTGTAAGGTAACCGGTTTCGGCTCATGGTTTTTTTCAGGCCACAAAATCGAAGTTGTTTGCATGCGCAGCACTCAATCGCCAAAAGAAACTGCGTAACTCCATTCCAGCCCACCCACGCGTGAAATCGCCTGCTTGCCTCACCTGCGTGGCCTCGTGCTTGCCTCACCTGCTTGGCCTCGTGCTTGGAGGGGGTGAAGCGCCTCTTGGGCTCTGGCTGGGCGTTGAGAGGATCCCACTTCTCGTCCCAGTCAAACCAGTCCAGGTACGGCTGGGGGGGAGGGGAGGAGGAGGGGAGCAGATGAAAGAGGAGACGTTTTGCCTGGGGGATCTCTAGATCTGCTACTTCCCTCCGCCCTCTCTTCCATACATTCTTGAACGGTGAGCTCTTTTGCTTCGTCACGGCAACAGCAGCAACGAGTCCCAACACAGCGCAGCAGCGGCGCGGCCGGGCTCACCTCATAGGGGTTGACATTGGCGTGTGGGGTGCGCCCCTCTCTGATTCGGCGGATCATATCAATGTCCTCCTCTGTCAGCCGGATCTCCTCGTCGTTATACTCATCGTACACCACCTTCCTGATAGGAGATGACGGTAAGGGAGGAACGGATGGAAGTAAGAAGTAGGAAGAGAACAACCATTGGGGGGGAGGGGGGGGCTCTGAATGAAATCACCCGAATCGGCCACTCTGTCAGCCAGATCTCCTCGTCGTTGCACTCGTCGTACACCAACTTCCTGGAAGGATCCATAGGGAAAGATGCACAAAGAAAAGACTTGAGGTGAACTCTCAGCTCGCCCCAGCCACTCTGTCAGCCGAACTTAGAACCACCCCACCCAGATACACCCATCCAAACCCCGCCAGCACCCCAGCTCTTTGAGAGGAATGAAATGTCTCCCCACCCCACCCAACAGCAACCCACCCCATCCACCAGCAACCCACCCCAACCACCAGCACCACGCCAGCAACCCACGAGACATCTAAGTCATCAGTGTGAGCGAGGAACTCGTCGAGATTGTCCCCCTTAGTAGCCACAGTGGTAACCAGAGACACACTCCACTCCTCACAACACAGCACCCTTGCCACACACCCACACCCACCCACCAGCAATACCCCACACCACCCACCAGCACCGCAGCAACTCAACGCACCACGCATCAGGGTCGTCGGTGTGGGCGAGGAACTCGTCCAGCTTGTCCCCCTTAGAGGCGCGCCCCTTGTGCTTCATAATGCGCTTTCCCTCTCTGTCGTACCCGATGTGCCCCTCCTCCTTGTACCACTCCAGAGGCACCTTGCCCACCGTGTTGCGCGATGGGCGCTGGAAAAGAGAGGTAGGCGAGGGGGTAGAGAAAGGGGAAACAGAAACTGAATTGGAGAAGCAGGGAGGAGGAGGAGATGGGAAGGTATCACTCTGCAAGACGGCCCTCCCTGTCGTACCCGATGTGCCCCTCCTCCTTGTACCACTCCAGAGGCACCTTGCCCACCGTGTTGCGCGATGGGCGCTGGAGGGGGGAGGGGGGAGGAGGAGGGTGAGGGAGGGGAGGGAGAGGGAAGGGGAATGAGAAGGGGAGGGGGAGAAGCAGGGTGGGGAAGAGGGGAAGGCGTGAGCGGAATTCGCAACTCCTCGCGCCCCTCCTCCTTGTACCACTCGACGGACACCTTGCCCACCCTGATGCGTGAGTGGCGCCGGAGGGTATGAGAAGTGGGGAAGGGGTGGAGCAGGGCGAGAAAGAAAGCGAGGTGTGAGCGAGGGACTTCCAACTCCTCACGCCCCTCCTCACGCCCCTCCTCACGCCCCTCCTCATGCCCCTCCTCCCTGTACCACTCAAGAAGCACCTTGCCCACCGCGATGGTCGCTGGAAAGGGGAAGGGCAAGGGCGGAGGAAGCGGTGGGATGGGGTTGGGAAGGGGAAGGGAAGGGGGAAGGGGGAAGGGGAAGAAAAAAAGGAAGAAAGGGCACGGGGAGGGGACGGAACAAGAGAAAGAGCGGGAGAGTGGCAGAGTGGCAGAGTTGGAAGGTGGGTGAGTGGGGGAGTGGCAGAGCGGGAGAGCGGGAGAGAGAAAGGAGAGGGCAGCGCGAGAGCACCTCGTCCTCCGAGGAATCGCTCTCTTCCGCCGCATGACCCGCGCCCTCGCCCTCTCCCCTCCCTCGCTCCTCCCCCTCCTCCGCTTCCACTTCCTCTTCGCTCTCCTCGCCCTCTTCCTCCTCATCGGCCTCCTCCCCTTCTTCTCCCTCCTCTTCCTCTTCTTCCTCATCTTCCCCCTCCTCACCCTCATCATCCCCCTCACCTGCTGAACCCTCCTCACCCTCCTCACCCTCCTCACCCTCCTCACCCTCCTCACCCTCCTCACCCTCCTCACCCTCCTCACCCTCCTCCCCCTCCTCCTCCCCCTCCTCCTCTTCCTCATCATCACTCCCCTGCACCTCCTCCTTCCCCCCATCCTCTCCGCCATCTCCCCCGCCAGCACCCCCCTCTTCCCCCTGCAGGCGGAAGTTCCCCCACGGCCGCCGCAGCAGGTCCTTCAGCGCCCGCCGCTCCTTCCGCTCCGCCGCCGCATCTGCGCGCTTCTGCTCGCGCGCCGCCTGCAATGCGGATTTTTTCTCCGCTTGGTCTTGCGCCGCTGCCAGACTCGCTCCAGACTCACCCTCTCGCTTCTCGCCCCTCCTCTTCCTCTTCCTCTTCCTCTTCCTCCTCTTCCTCTCCTTCACTCGCTTCCGAATCTGACGAATCGGAATCCGAATCGTCAGCCGGAATCAGTTTGTTGAAATCCTCGCTTCCGTCGTCCTCCTGCCCTTCCTCCGACGCCCCATCGACCGCTTTAATCTCCTCTGTAGCCTCTCCCGCTTCGGGCACGTCTTTATTCTCCTCTACCGGCCGTAACTCCTCCTCTGCAGCCATAACAATGGCTGTACCGGAAACGACAGCAACGGGTTTAGAGGCTGTAGAAACGAAGCAATGATCGAAGCTGCAAGACAATTGACGCAGCGCGGACAGAAAGCTTTCAGATGGACCAAAACCCTGAGTTATGTCCCAAGGTTTGAACTGTATGAAATGGGGAGGGTTGAAGGGAGGTTCTGGAAGGGAGTATATTTCTCGCTTCGAACTGATCCGTTTTGAATGGACCTGGATACATCGTGCTTCAGCAATTTCCACAACAGAAATATATCTTAGCAAGTTTACATCATAAGAGACTAATAAACAATTACCCCAACACCTTTCATTTCCTTATCAGGACCGCATCCCCTGTTAATTCGGGAAAGAGGTCCCGTATCACATCATACAACGGGAAGGAGGTCCAGTAACATATCATACAACAGGAAGGAGGTCCAAGAACATATTGTACAATAACTGCACCCAACCGTCAATCGGACCAGGGTGACAATAATGAAGGCAGTCCTTGGCCCCTCTATGAGAATCCGGTCTCAGCTCTGTCATACTCTCCACGTCCATATACACAGCCCCCACCGCCTCCGCCACTTTCCTCGCAACTTCATTCTGCCGCGCAAACTTATCCCAGTTATACTTATCTACATGCTTAAAAATCCCATCTCCCTTATCACTATCACTTGAATCATCCTTTCCAAACTTCTTTTCCAAGGGACGGTCGTAACGCATGCACCCCCTATGCCCCGCCGGCGTCCCACGCACAACAATCAGCAAATCTGGAAACTGCTCCCGCAGCCAAGCCAGCTGCCCCGAGACCTCCCACGCAAACGACTCGTGGGGGGTGAAGTGCGCGCCGCGGTTGACAATCAGAATCGACACGTTCTCCCGCCGCAAGTCATCCACCCACGAGCCGTGCACGCGCTTTGTGAGCCACTGGTTGCGCCAGGCGGGGGAGAGCAGGTAGTCATCGCGCACGAAGGAGAGGTTGAATGCGAGAGAGGGGCGAGCGGGTGAAGGTGGGCTTCCTTCCTCACTGCTGCTGTCGCTGCTCTCGCTCTGCCCCACCACATCCCCACCGTCACCCCTCCCTTCCACGTCCCCACAGAGCACAGCAGTCCAGCAGCGCTGCAGCGACAGCCAGGGGGAGTACGAAGCATCCCTCACCCGCCGGCACAGCACCGAGATGCGCCCACGCCGTACACGCTCCCCTGGGTCCTCCGCCCCCACACGCACGTTGTAGCGCAGGGCGTGGGCGAGCTGCAAGTTGAGCGAGTCCCCCACGATCATCGTGTTGCGCCCTGCCACTACCCGGCACATTGCCTCCCCTGAGAACCGCTCCCACCGCCCACATGCACCCTGAGGGCTGCTGGGGGTGCTGCTGAAGGTGCTGCTAGGGATGCTTGAAGCACCACTGCTTCCGCCGCTGCTGCTACTGCCCTCTCCTCCTTCCCTGCCCACACCCTCCCTCTCTCCGTTCTCGCTTATGCCATCCCCTTCACCGTTCCCGCCAACCCTCCATTCGTACTTAAGCGCTCCTCTAACCTTCCATTCCGCCTCTGCCCGCCCCTCTTCCACCACCCTATCTGCGTCACGCATCGCCACTGCACCAGACACGGCCCCCATGTGCCGCTCATCACACAGACTCATCTCGCCCGGCCACGGAAGGAGCCGCGGTGTGGCGTTGAATCTCCACCGTCCGTTCCTGCTGATGCAGGCGAAGCGGTCCCTGAAGGACTGGACCTGTGCTGACGTAGCGAGGACGGATCCTGGGATGCGATCCCATTGGCCGATGATGCTCTGGAGGCCTTCGGCTGTGGTGGGAATGGACGGTGGGGATGATGCTGAGCTGTGATCAACGGACGAAACAACCGGTTTAGTTTCTTCTGCTGCAATAGCTGTTCTTTCACCTGCCCCTTCACCTGCCCCTCCACCTGCTCCTCTGCCTTCTCCTCCTCCTACTCCTGCTGCGCCGACAGCGTCTGCTATCAGTACGTTAGGTGCTGACCTTCCGTTAACCGCGGACGCCACTGTACGACCACCATCCGTTGCTTTGATACTACTACCATCAATTCCAGATGAAACAAGAGTGGGGATGAGCGCTGCTGAACCATCATCTCTGGGTGGGGTCAATGCTGCTGCAGTATCAGCTGCTGGTAAAACTGCTTCACCTCTGGTTACGTCCAAACCCAGATTCAGATCGCCTTTATGCAGTGCTGCTGCTTCTGCCGATGCTTCTGCCGATGCTTCTACCTCCGGGGCCTTCCTGGCCGCTCCTTCTACCGCTGCTTCTGCCCCTGCTTCGGTTTCAATCGATCGTTTTTGCAGGACGAGCGAAGAGTTCAGAGCGAAGGATCTGGGCTGGCTTATGTCTGACCAAACGAGGCTGATTATACCGAGAATGCACCCTGCCGCAACCAGAGCTATGCCGTAGGCGGAACTGCCGCGGAAGCGCGGAGAGAGAGCGGCGGGCGGTGCGAACGTGGACCCGTGGCGAAGCGACACGGGCATGAAGAGGATCTAACGGTTATTACCGTCTAGAAATAGGACGTATGTAGGCACTCTGGAAAGATTTTCGACAAAACAGGGGTACTTGCCACTAAGCAGTGAATAATTAGCAGTTTAGCGCAACCTGTACTTATTGACGAATTAGGACCACGCCACCTCGCACGAAGTAGCACGTTATCGTGCTGACAGGGGGAGGCTACTATGGACTGCCACGTGGCGTTGGATCGAACATTGGCCAATAGTGGCCCGTAGTGACACGTCGGAGACACGTGTCCTGAAATTGCTTTCGACCTGGACGTCCAGCTGAGTCCGTGGAAAGCGGCGATCTCAAGGCAGGGCGAGCAAAAAATTGGCATGACTTAGGGCGGGGGCAGCGCGTTCATTTTCTTGGCTTAGCCCGAAACAGTTACCAGATTCAGCGGTTTGTAACCCTGATTTAGAGTAACGAGCGGACACGATGGAGTATACAGTGGATGAACGGTGGCTGTTTTCCGTGCCGTCAACCGAACAGAACACGTTCCCACGACGGCCGCGAACAACACGCGCATCATTCGAGAATGCCTGTGTGCAGGTCAGCGAAACCGCACCACGAGTTCGTCAAGCGCGTACGACCCTCGCAAATTCATGGGTTCACAAATACAGCTTCGTACTGCTCCCCGTCACCAGATCCACTAGCACAGGGTTACCTCATTGGGTGGGCGGTTGGGCAAAAGTGTGGCGGGACCTGTGCCTAATTCTGGACGCGCGTGTCCCACCTGGGACACAAACTAAGCGCGGTGCAAAAATGCTACAGTATTTTCCTGATTCGACGGGCGTCAAAATTTTGGAAAAGTGGAGAAAATGAACGCGCTGCCCACGCCCTTATCGTACATTCCGCTGTGGACACATGTCCCAATCGATGTGTCCCAATCGAGTGTACCGCTCCGAACCGAACTAAACCAGAGACGCGAAAATTTCGAAACTAGGGTGCAATTTGGTGTAATACGATGCAGTGCGGTAGAAACGATTGGGACACATCGATTGGGACATGTGTCCACAGCGGAATGTACCCTTATTTTACATGTACGAGCGCGTTAGTGCAGGTTGCAGACCGGGCAAAACACAAATCCAATCCACAACTTTTATATGTACAGGCTTGGAATTAGAAGCTTCTTCAACAATGCACTAGTCACAGCCAGTTAAATTTCATCTTCGTCGTCGTCATCTCCGTCAGTAGTGAGTTTCGTGCCCAGCGTTCGTCTTTTAACCCTGCACATTAAATGCAGATTCTAGGTGGAAAACAAGACGCACCTTTGTTTGTAACAACGCAACACAGCACACATCAAAACATGAGGCCAAAAACAAATCGCCCTTCAGGAAAGACAGTAGCATAAAAGACCCCTCATACCTCACACATGACCTTGCACCACTCCACACCGCACCATACCTTCTAAAAGACGGCACAGGCTGCCGTCTTTGCGGCAGCCGCCTTTCACTCGCAGTGTTATCTCGTGTCATCATTGCGCTTGCTGCACCACCTCCTGCTGCTTTCCCTCCTGCTGCAGCCCCTCCTGCTGCCCTTCCTGAACCCATCAAGCTGCCTTCTGCCCTTTTCCCCGTATCCTCTTCCCTTCGTCCTGCTCCCATCATCCCCCCTCCTACTCTCGCCTCTGCTGTACTGCTGACGGCACGAGGAAGGACAGGCTCTGACTGTGACCATAACAGCTGGGACTGAGAATCAGTTTCGGACAGTACTGCTGGTTGTGACTGTAACGGTGCCGCCTGTGCTGCTGCATCTTCTGTTGTCCCCTGCGACTCCAGCAGCCAACCTTGGGAACTACCAGGTGACAATAACGAGGGATCCTGTGACATAGAATCAGGAGGCTGCTGCGAATGCTGCCACTGCTGCCCCTGCCCCTGCTGCCCCTGCTGCCCCTGCTGCCCCGCCTGACCTTGCTGCCCCGCCTGACCTTGCTGCCCTGCCTGCCACACCTGCTTCTGCTGCGTCTGCTGCGTCTGCTGCGATTCCTGCCCCTGACCACTTCCTGAGCGACCTATCACTGTGTCTGCTGTATCCCTTGCCGATGCTGACGGTACCGCTAATGCTGATGCTCGTGCTGATGCTGCCAGAGGATATTTCTGGGAAGGTGTGGGCCCTTGCGAGCGTGACACTGACTGCGAGTGTGAGAAGGAGCGGGAGGGAGCAGGTGCCACGTGGCTGCCTGTCATACGCGAGGCGGATCTCGAGCGGGCCAGCTTGGACTTGGGGGGCCCCAGAATGCCATAACTGAGAGCTGTGGCCTACTCAGCACAGACACACGCAGGGGTGTGTGGGGGCAGGGCAGGGGAATGGTGACGGGAAAAGGGTGAAACGTGGTAAAAAAGTGTTTTGAGACGTCTCAAAACACTTCTTCAAAAAGGGTGAAACGCGGTAAAAAAGGGTGAGACGTGCACTTGGAGTGAACGGAGGGCCGTACGTGCGAGATTTGGCCTGATCAAGACACACACGCAGGTGCGCAGTGGCGTTGAAAGGGTGAAGGAAGATACGGTGAAAAGCGGTGGAAAAAGCAGGGAGACACGCACACGCCCAACCAGATGGTCTCTCCCTTCTTCAAATACTGAACACGCCATCCTAAACAGCTAGTCAGAAGCCACTTGATCCAAATCCTGCGCCGTCCACGCCACCCGCTCTTCTGCCCAAAGCTCACCTTCTCCTTCTCCACCTCTGCCATTCGCCTCACGTGCTTGGCGCGCTCTGAGTGAGACGGAACACATAAGGCAGAGGGGAAAAGCCAAGGGAGGGGAGGGAAAAGGGAAAGGCCCAATTATCGTGACTGTGTTGGCAGAAGTCCATGTGTCTCTCTCTACAGCCTAATTGTGAAAATAATCGTACATGCGTTAACTCGAGAAACTCATGCCCGCTCTCAGAACCGCCAGCCATGGCTACTCTTCCTTCCCCTCCCCGCCCCTCACTCACCTCCCCTCGCTCACCTCTCTCGAGCGTCTTTGCTAATTCGCGTCTGTCTCTCACAACCGCAAACGCGATTCCCGCTGCCACTAATTCGAAATGAATCTAGTTTCGACAAAGAAAACAGCCTCATATCGCTTTCACCCCCGCTCCCCTCCCCTCCCCTCTCTTCGCTCACCTCGTCTAAGCGTCTTCTCCTGGTGGAATCGGTCCCTCACAAGCGCGAACGCGATTTCCGCTGCCAGGGTCTCGGAAAGGCATTTGAGTCGACCAAAGAACCGGCCTCATTTCGCGTGGCTCCCCCTCCCCTCCCTTCCCCCTTCACCGCCCCTCGCTCACCTCGTCTAAGCGTCTTCTCCAGGTGGAGTCGGTCCCTCACAAGCGCGAACGCGATTTCCGCCGCCACAGATTCGCACGATGGGAACAGGGGTGACGACGCTGGTGACGTGGCTGATCCAATGGCTTCTAACGAGGATGACTGTAACGTGTGTGACTGTAACGAGTGCGAGCGTGACGCTAACGGTTGCTCCACGCCAGCGTCAGTTCTCCCCTCCCCTCCTCCGGCGTCCCTTCCCGGCCAATCCACGCGCTTCAGCTTGAATCTGATTTTCGGCGCGCGTTCGGCCTTTTGGCCCGTGAGCGTGATTGTATCGAGAGCAGGTATATGATTGGCGAGCAGGGGCGCTGCGATTGGAATGAGAAGATGGGAGGGGGGGATCGGACGGCCAGGATGATCGAATGGATGACAAAGGAAGAGTTTAACGGACGCTAATGAGCAACAATATCAGACATGCAAACGAGGAACTAATAGCAACACCGGAACTGGCATACCATACTGGCGGCGGCGGGGGGATTATGCGGTGGAGCGTGTGCCTTAGCGATGAGTGCTACCTTGATTGGGGCGCGCTCTAGCGAAAGCGGGTGTGACAGTAACGTGGCGCGAGGAGAGCGAGTCGCGGATCAACCCGAGGAAGGCCGCGAAGCTCATATTGAATCCGAGACTCTCCTTCTGCGCGGCGCGCGCCGTCCCAGAATGGCAACGGCGGATCGGACAAAAAGAAAGTGGGACCAGAAGTCTGAGTGATCGGATTTTGTTTTTTTGATCGACTAGAATACATTTACCAGAAAGGCTCCTGTGGAATAAGCCACGACGAAAGCGAGCCGAGAAACGAACAGCATATCAACGACACGCATCCGAATTATTTGGTGACACCACAGCAGCTGCTGCACTTGAGCTGTCCGCACCAGAAGCGGCTTATGCTTGACGCGCGCGCACCAATCTCCTCCTAAGAAAGACAGCCGCACTGGGAGCTGCCCGCAATGTGTGCATTCAAAGATTAGCTACCGCACCAGGAGCTGCCGCACTAATAACTGTCGCACAAAGAACTGTCGCACAGCTGCCGCACTAGCAACTGTCGCACTAGGAGCTGCCGCACTAGCAGCTGCCCGCCATGGGTGTATTTGCGGCAGCTGTCGCACCTCATCTTCAAGGTCGTCTCGTGACAGTTGCGTGCGCCACGAGCTACCGCAGAAGTCCGACACCAGCGCCTCCAGCCCCTCGAACTCCCTCTCACCGCACTCCATCTCGCCGCACTCCCTCCCGCCGCACTTCACCGAAGGTCCTTGGCTTTCGTCTCCCGCACGAGTCCCCTCGCTGCTGCCACTGCTTTGGCTTCCGCCATTGCTTTCACTGCTATTGTTGCTACTACTGCTGAGGGCGCTGGTATTTGCGCCGTCGCCGCAGGCTCGCACGAGAAAGATGAGCGGGCTTGGCCGCAGGCCTTTACTCGTAATAAAACCGGGTGTGACTGTACCGAAAATGGGAAGAAATGTTTCGCAGTTTCCGCTGTCATTCTTCGGTCCTGTCTGTTCCTTTGCGCCTAGCGAGTCCATCGGGTGCGGCGCGACGACTCGCGACGGAGGGACTCGCATACTGTCGCCACGATTCGCGTAAGCTTCTCTTTCCTAGTAATGAGAATTTTCGCCAGAGAGCGTCGAAGGTGACTCAGGGAGTCTATTTAGTGAATTAAGAACCGAACGTCAGCAGATAGTGAAGGAGGCAAGTTTGATGGCCTGTTTAGCTAAGTGAGCGGCCAGAAGTGAGTAGCTGACGCGAAGCAGGAAACGTAGAACCGCGGTAGGTTCCACTAAGCATCCCTGACTGGTTCCGTCTGAAGCGTCGTGCCGACAATAACCCCGTGAGATAAGGTTCAGTAGTTACTGCTGGTTTGGTTGGGTAGTGTGAAGTGTGAGTTAGCAACTGCCATTGACAGCGCGTGCTGATCGGAAAGGCGAGAGTGAGTTCCTGCATCGTGCTGGTGTGGTGTGATCGTGCATGATTGACAATTCTCAGTGTTCTCATAACGGAAGATGCTGCGAGACGTTGATTGTTGACCGCTGACAGCATCGCGCGGAACCGGACTCGCTTTGCTTTGCGCCAAATTTTCCCATCGAAGTGGATGTGCCGTTAGTGAATGGCGCGAAGCAAACACACTCGCCAACCACCAGCCCATCCTCGATACGAATCGCCCAGCTACTCTGTTAGAGTAAATAATTGCTAAGGAGGCCATTACAGAGGTTCGCTACAAAAGAAAGAAATAAAAAAACTTATTATAACATCATGAACAATATGCTAACTAAACATATTAAATAGGTCAAGCAGAGAGAAGCACACCAACCGTTTGGTTGCTACACCTTTGATTGGCTTCTATGCCACTCCACGACCTCTCTGTACGGCAGGTCCCCTCCGAAGATGTCGAGGGCGCTTCCTACAGTCACATCCACAGCTCCCCTTCCAGCTGCCTTCACAATCTCAAGATCCTCTAGAGAGCGAACACCTCCGGCATAGGTCACAGGGATCTGAGATAAACGGGGAAAAGGAGTAAATTACACAGGTAAACAAGGTGAGTTTGACAGCAGCTCCTGGATAGGACAACAATGGTAGTGGCTACCGAATTAACGAAATCGACAACGGTCGTGAAAATAGAACTAGCGAGAGGTACCCACCGGTGAATATTTCCCAAGCAGGGAAACGAGCTCTTCATCAATGCCCAGCCTGCCAATGCGCAAGGAGGAAAATGCAGAGTAGGGATGGAAAACAGGAGAGTTGAGAATAAAACCAGCAGAACGGGAAGTCCTGAAACGTGTGTACTCTGTACTGGAACTACATCATGGCACATCGTTTTCTTCACAGTATACACCAACCCCACACTCACTACCTTCTCCTCCACATGCTAATCCCCCAGTCACTCCATGTGCACCACACTACCTTCCACATCCACACCCTGCATGAGCAACTTACCCTTCGAGGCACGTTTCATCCCCTGCACAGTTCGAACAATCCCCCCACCCCCCTCAACCCACCCCATCCACATACACACACAATTTCCATGCACTTCATGCCCTCTGCACCCACACCGTGCACGTGGAAGTGATCGCAGAAACACTCCCATCTACTGCCCACACACACTCGCTTCCCGCTCTCTCCCCATCCTTGCTCACTTCATGCCTTCCACATCCACCCCGTGCACGAGGAATTCATCGCAGCAGTCGGCCAGCCGTGCCAGCGACTCGCCGTCCACCACCAGCGATGTGAAGCGCTGCCACCGGTCCGTCACCACGTAGTAGTGCTCGCCCTGCAAGGAGGGGGTGTGTGTATGTACTACTAGCATGTCAGAGATGGAAAAAGAGCCACCAGCGATGTGAAGCGCTGCCACCGGTCCATCATCACGTAGTAGTACTCGCCCTGTGGTTGGGGTATGTGTGAGTGTGGTATAGAGCGTGCACTCAAGAGCAACAAGGGAGGCCACTGGGGATGTGAAGGGCTGCCAGCGGTCCGTCACCATGCAGTAGTGCTCGCCCTGTGGTTGGGGGGAGGGGGCGGATGGGAATGCGCATGTACTAGCCTAGCATGTCAGGGTTGGAGAGCAAACCACCAGCGACGTGAAGCGCTGCCAGCGATCCGTCACCACGTAGTAATGCTCTCCCTGCGGGCGGGATGTGGGAGATTTTTAAGTGTTTAGGAGCAGGAGTTAAGCAACTAGAGCTTTGAACTCCTGCCATTGGCCTGTTACCACGTGTTAGCGTTTTCCCTGCCAGTGTATTTTGAGAATTCTAGGAAAGCTCTTGCAAAAAAAGGGGAAAGGTGTGAGAGCAAGTGCGAGAGATGGAAAGAGCCAGCAGCGATGTGAAGTGCTTCCAGAGGTCCGTTGCCACGTGAAGTGTGTGGCGGGGTTACGTGAGTGTGTACGAGTGTGTATGTGGCTGTCTGAATAAAAAGATGGAAAGAGAAGGAAAGGTGTCCTGTGCATAGGCACCAGATCAGTGGTTGCCCTGTGTATGTGGACGCACGTGCGAGAGGAAGAGGGCGGCAACAACGTGGAGGGCGACAAGACTGTCGATGTGTGGAGGTTCAAGTAGAGGCAAGGATGGAGGTGAAGGGAGGTGGAGGGAGGTGGAGGGAGGCTGATTGGGGTGGAGGGAGGTGGAGGAAGGTGGAACGATGTGCAGCACAATACCATTCCCCACCTTCTTTCTGCAGCTCAGATCAAGCACCAGTCTCTCCGGTGCTACTGCGTTCACCATCCTGCGCAGCCGCTCCTCATCCACCTTGCCATCTCGAAACACGTACTGCAAGACAGAAAGAGATGCATATGTTGTTAGGAACGGTCACAAAGAGGGCGAAAAGGGGAGGCGGATGGGGTAACCTCCAATTGACATGCACTGCACTCTATAAGCTCGGAAATATGCCGAAACACAAGGCTTGCAGAAGAGACTGATTAGCTCATTCCGTCCCAAGATGACTGCAGTATGGAAACATTTAAGGGAGTTCGTTTATGAATGTGAGAATGTGATGGTAGTGTGCTGCATGTCAAGCTCTGTCACAACCATGGCACGAGTCGTATGATACAGCGATGATGCTACTAGTGTGATGATGCCTTACCAATGTGACAATGACGTTGCTGGCCCCCTGCAACATTTGAGGTGCCTCAAAACAAGAGACGAATTTTCAGTTGCCTCATAGCATTGTGACAGACAGAACCACACCGATGTGACAGCACCGTACCGAGGTGACAATGACGTGGCTGGCCCCTGCGTCCAGGTACATCTCGGCGTTCTCTGGAGTGATGCCTCCACCCACGTGCAGTCCACCTGGGTTTGAAAGGCAGAGGACAATGGAAGGAGGAAGGACGGATGGAAGGGAGGGAAAGGCAAAAGCATGGCGGATGTACACATCTGTCAGACGTTTCTATGAACAAGGGTCATGACAGGCCCTTGAACAGCAACAGCATTACTTTCTAAGAAAGTAGTAGAGAACGAAAGAGAGAGAAACAGATCCACCCACGCTTGTCCTTGTGGTACCTGGGAAGGCATTCAGCGCCCCAAGAGCTGCCTCCTGACTGGCTGGATCGGCCCCTAGCATGATGACGTGGCCTCCTGGCAGCGAATCAGCGGCGTACATGCTGGCATACTCCGCTGCACTGCGATCCGACTCAAAGTTGGTCACAGGCTCGGATGAGGAGGAAGAGGAGGCGGTGGCTGATGAGTCTTGGGAAGGCAGGTCACGGAGTGTGGAACCAACGATCTGCTTCACCTTGCCCTATACGGAATTAAGGGAGGGAAAAGGGAGAGATTTCTGTGTGCTCTGCACTAGTCGAAAATGATAGTTTGGAGCAAAGTGGTAAAGGAGGAAAATGGTAAAGCCAGTGACAAGATGGATTCACTTCTGGCCTACTATAAAATGCACGATTTCTATTCATAGGCGGTTCCCAAACTGTATTCGATGATGCCTCGACGAAACCGGAATGACGGCAGTTGTTGATTGAAATGCAGCATGCCACGGTGTGTTCGTGTTTGGAGAATGTCAATGGGTGACATGGCATTCATTCCCACACGCCAGCTCATGGATGTCCCTTTCTCGTAGAAGCTTTTTTCCTGATGCTGTGTTTGAATGTCAATGCAACATTTCTACCTTCAGAGTGCCGACTCCACACACGTACCTTGTGAATGTCAATGCACGGTCGGAATCTGACAGCTGCAGCAAACAGGGAAGGATCAAGGAGGGAAGGAGAGAAGCCGGGGAAGAAACGCGGTTGGATGGGAAAAGAGAATCAGACGGAACCAGGACAGAGTGACAGGCTGAAGAACACGTTGAGAGAAAAAAATGGAAGCTGCAAACAAGGAAAACTGCAACGGAGTATGGAAAGACAAGAAAGACGCTCATACGGACTGGCGAGATAGCTCACTTTGTCTCACGCTAGTAGCTTGGCTGTAGGACGCATTGCACCGGATAACGCGCGATTCCGACGGTCGAACGGACAGCGGAGGTTGATGCATTGTGTGCGACAGCGGAGCTGCTTTTACGACGCTTCCGCTCGCGGCAGTTGCGAGCGAAATGGCTGATGAACCCATGATGACGACCGGTAGATTGTGTTTCCTCCCTGACGCCTCTAAAATAGACGAAAAGCGTATGCTAAAACAATGTATCTAACAAGGGTATGCGATCCTGCAGATCAAACCAAATGGCGAGAGGTGATCACTTTTTAGACCTGACCAGAACCCTGAGCCTGGTCAACCTAGATTCCAGTTTCTGCTAGCATGGTCTGGCTGGCTAGATATGAAGAGCGTGTACTAGCCATTTGAGTGAAAATCTTCAGACAACGGCGAAAGTAGAATCCTGTTACAGATCAAGATCCGATGGGGCTGTTCGCCAGCACCTGTGAAGCAAAAAACCACAGGATAACGACGGGATCAGGAAGGTGGGTCTCGCCTTCCTGATCCCGTCAGTTAGGGTTCGTTTACCTCCGTCAGCCTGGTCAGCCCGAAAAAAAGGTGCCGAGCCTCCCCTACCGTCCAAACCAGCAATCAAAGTGGGTGTCTGGCGAACGCCCCCATTTGTCCACCATAACGAACTGCTCGACGGCATATGGAAGCGGGGACGCAACTTCGTCACCAGGCGAAATTCCATCCCCTAGCCATGCCATCGCCATGCTGCGTTTTTCAAAGCACAGCGATGGCACAGCCGTCGCATTGCCGTTTCGCGCCATTGGGGGGAAGGTGGCGACGGAGGTTCCCGATGCGGTTGCGTAATTTCGCCTTTCGGACGTGAGAAGTTTCTCGCGCGGCAATACGCCCAAACCTCGGAAGAGGGTTCCGCCTCCGTTTCCCGATGCGGTGGCGATGCCATCTTTTTCTGTTCAAAAATCGATTTGCTGGCGAACAGCACCAATATGACATTTCATTTGTTCCAATAAGAGCTCACTTCAACAATTTCCCTTGCAACCAAGGCTCCAGCAAATGAATCTCAACAGGGCACATTATGAAGATTTTTTGCAACAATTTAGTGTCGGGCTTCCTACGGAGTGTCCACTACCCATGACTGCACAAGAAACATGGTGAACAGGTAAAACGTAGATGGTGCAAACTGCATCCGTCCTAGAATGTGGCTCTTGATCGAGCAGGCTGTAGCCTGTGGAGGAGCAAGGCGTTTGGCTTAAAATATCAGAGCATCACTGCACGGACGGCAAAGGCGATGGTTGCAAGGGCTGATTTGATTCATGATTCGCAGTAGGTGGCTTTGAAGTCCACTCAGACGTTAGCTTGTGGTGGAGCATGAGGGTGAGGCTTGAGAAATCGAAGCATCACTTCGTAGACAGCGAAGGTGATGGACGCAGAGGGCATGACTCGCAGCAGGTTGGGCAGAAAGCCCTTGTAAAAACCACGGGCGCCCTCCAGCCTGCGGAAGACAAGGGAGGGAGGCAAAACAGAGAATAAAACTTTGAGGCGTCTCAATTGCCGCAACAGGTTGGGCAGAAAGACCTTGTAGAAACCACGTGCGCCCTCGAGCCTGGGGAAGACTAAGGAAGAAAGCCGGAAAGCAAAGGATTAGAGGAGACACAAGATGAAGGTGTATGGGGTGTTGCATGAGAGGCCGTGGCTTGCATCAGGTCACGCAGAAAGCTTCTAAAGAGGCACGCCACACCTTGTAACCAGAGAGGGGAGAGGGGGGAGCATGGAGACTCGGAATAGCATACATGACAGACGAGGGATGCGAAAGCAGGAGCAAAAACAGGAAAATTGTGACCCATGCAGCACTCATCCAGCACCATTCCTCCTGTAAGTTGTTCGTTAGACTTCGCCTCATGGGTTAATTTTGGTTTCTCAAAACGACCTACCAAAAAAAGTGTGTGTCCCATGCAGCAATGATCCAGCACCATTGTTCCTGTGCATATGTTCCTGCTCGCCTGTGCAGGTACAGGATGTCTCCTACTCACCTCCACATGCTGGTGACGGCGTGCTGTGTGTTGCGGTACTTTAACTGGCCAACCTCGTTTGGACGCATCTGAATTTACAAGGTCATTGTGGAAAGCAAACATAAGTGTGCGAATGTACACCAGAAACGATTATTAAGGCGCCAAAAAAAAAAAAAAAATGCAGGAGGATATGCAAGTGGGTATAAGGGCAAAGCAAGGGATAAGAGGCCGAGCGTGGAGTACAAGGAGAGGGCTACGAATGGGGAACGGGAAACGGAAGGCAAGTCAAGGGAGTGATGAAGTGAAGGAAAGCTGGGAGAAGATTGTTAGTCGATTTTTGAGTCGACTCAAAATGAAGTGAAGGAAAGCTGGGAGAAGAATGTTTGTCTCAAAAGCAAGCAGGGTGACGAACGCAGCATGAAGAGTGGGGAATGGGAAGCAGGGCAGTGAGGGGGACTAAGGAAAGCGCGGGAAGGGAAGCAGATTAGAGGACGTAAAGAGGGGAAGGAGAGGAGAGTACCTGCAGGCGAGCTCGCACCACCTGGCGTGGGTGGGAGAGGCCAAGCGGGGAGGGAGGGATAGAGAAGCATGGTGGCATGGGCATGCATGGTGGCATGGACTATCATGGTACATGAGATGATGGGAACAGCAAGCGCGTGGGGGAACGAAAGGCAAACAGCACACACGCACACACACCACACTCGGAACGAAAGAGATTGATGGAATTTGAAAGCAGACTCTGGCCTGTCACAGAAAACGGGAGGCAGACGGGCAGTGCAGAGGAGGTTTGGGCAAGCTGGCACGTGAGCTCGGCAGTAGAGCTATATCGAATCATGAACCACTCAAAAGACCTATCCAGTTTGACAAGCCGACCATCAATGGGTGCTATAACCATGAAGCCGTACCTAGTCGGGGTAGTTGGACGAGTCAACGCGTACTGTACCTGGTAGGGGTAGGTGGCAGAGGCAGCACAGAGCTTGGCAGTTGCTCCCACTGCTGCAATGTCCCAAGGGGACTATGGAGGGGAGAGAGAGAGGTGGAAGGGTAAAGTGGGGAAAGGATTTTTTAGATGTCTTGAAAAAGCTTTTGAGACGCATCAAGAGAGCCTTGCAGTTGCTCCGACTGTCCCATGGGGACTGTGGGGGCGAGAGAGATGAAAGAAGTGGGTCCAGGGAAAGGATTGAGAGAAAAAAGAGGGAGAAGCAGCGGAGAATTGGCAATACAAGACAGGGAGAATGAGTTGAGTTGAGGACAGTTTAAGGGCAACACAAGACAGGGAGAAGCAGCGTGACAAGGTCATTTTTTTTCTATCATTTATTTCCTGAGGACGGTCAGTATGTTTTTTCACTACTGATTTTGCACTGCTTGCAGGGCAGTGAGGGCTACCATGAAAGTTTTGTGCAATAAGCTGAAAGTACTGACCAGCTCTGTCACAGCAGGATGTGCAGGCAACGAGGAGGAGGAGGAGGACGGATGAGAATCAATGCGTGGTTGGGTGGGTGCGGGTGCTGCCCATGGTGAAGGCGATCTGAGAGCCAGCATGAGCTGCTTCAGCTCCTCATACGCCGCCATCTGAATGGCCCCGTGCGATACCTGAAAAGGGGAGCATGACAGAGTAGTGCGGTGGGGTACAGGGGGATACATGGATGGGTAGACAGGGAGAGATAGTGAGGGGGTAGGAAAAGATGGGCGATATCTGTCAGTCAGATAAACATGTACAAGGCAGTACCAACAGTCAACAGTAAGGAATTATGAATCTACCCGCAGAGCATAGCATAGAGTGCACATGACAGACTGGCACATAAGGAGTGACATGGCTGAAAATGGCCGCAATGCAAAGCTTAAGGCTCGGGCCTATGCCTTACCAAGACGAGGCTCGGACTAAAGCCTCACCAGGAAACGCTTGGGCCTAAGTCTTACTAAGATGAGGCTTGGGCCAATGCCTCTGTACAGCCCTCTAAAGCCCTCCTCCTTGACTATTGACCAGATGGCGTCTGGTGAGAGGACGATGGGGAGAGAACGGGAGGAAGTGAGAGGCAGTGAGTCTTATGTGAGGGAAGGAGGAAAGTGGGCCAGGCAGGCAGGGTGAGCTGGGGAGAAGAGGGGAGAGAAGAGGGGAGAAGAGAGGGGAGAAGAGGGGAGAAGAGGGGAGAGAAGAAGAGGGGAGAGAGGGGGAGAGGAAGAGGGGAGAAGAGAAGAGGGGAAGAGAAGAGGGGAGAGAGGGGGAGAAGAGGGGAGAAGAGGGGAGAGAGAAGAAGAGGGAGAAGAGGGGAGAAGAGGGGAGGGACGAGAGGGGAGAAAGGGGAGAGAAGAAGAGGGGAGAAGAGGGGAGAAGAGGGGAGAGAGAAGAGGGGAGAAGAGGGGAGAAGAGGGAGAAGAGGGGCGAAGAGGGGAAAGAGGGGAGAAGAGGGGAGAAGAGGGGAGAAGAGGGGAGGAGAGAACGAGAAGGGGAAGAAGATGGGAGACGAGGGGAGAAGGGGGAGAGAGGGAGAAGAGGGGAAGAGGGGAGAAGACGAGGGGAGAAGAGGGGAGAAGAGGGAGAAGAGGGAGAAGATGGAGAGAAGAGGGGAGAGGAAGAGGGGAGAAGAGGGGGAGAAGAGGGAGAAGATGGGAGAAGAGGGGAGAAAGATGGGGAGGAGAAGATGGGAGAAGATGGGAGAAGAAGACGGGGAGAAGACGGGAGAAGAAGAGGAGAAGACGGGAGAGAAGATGGGAGAAGATGGGAGAAGATGGGAGAAGACGGGAGAAGATGGGAGAAGATGGGAGAAGATGGGAGAAGATGGGAGAAGATGGGAGAAGATGGGAGAAGATGGGAGAAGATGGGAGAAGATGGGAGAAGATGGGAGCGAAGATGGGAGAAGATGGGAGAAGATGGGAGAAGATGGGAGAAGATGGAAGATGGGAGAAGATGGGAGAAGATGGGAGAAGATGGGGGAGAAGATGGGAGAAGATGGACGAAGGAGAAGATGGAGAAGATGGGAGAAGATGGGAGAAGATGGGAGAAGATGGGAGAAGATGGGAGAAGATGGGAGAAGACTGGAGAAGAGGGGAGAAGAGGGGAGAAGATGGGAGAGAAGGAAGACGGGAGAGAGGGAGAAGAGAGGGGAGAAGAAGAGAGAGAGAGAGGGGAGAAGATGGGAGAAGACGGGAGAAGTGGGCTAGGCTTCTGTCGAGTGCTCTCATGCCCTCGTTCGGCCATGAAGATGCATGACCGGATGAAGGGTGGAAAAAAAAGAAGGGAAGAGAGCTACTAACATATTGGGATCCTTCAGTTTTTTAGAGGTTCCTGTTCTCATTATGCAAGTGTAGGATTCGGGGGACGGCGCCGGTACGAGGAGGAAATTCGGAAGCTGAATGGAACCAAGGAAGCATGGATGGATCTATGCCGAGAAGGAATATAGCTTTAGAGCGAAAAAGAACACTTGACAGGAGCAACCGTTGACAGTGGGAAAGACGACGGGAGGGGGGGGAGGGGAGAGAGGAGAAGAGTGTGTGAGTGAGTGAGAGGATGGATGGAGAAAGCGAGAGAAGGGGCGAGCAAGGGAGCGATGGGAGAGAGTAAGAAAACATAAGAGACACCAAAGAAAAGGCAGTGTGGCACCAAAGAGAACCACACAAAAGAGTGAAGCAGCAATTGGTGGAGTGGATGGGGAGGAAGAGGAAGGGGAAGGCTGGGCGGGAAGCTGGAGGGAGGCAGGGAGGGGATGGAACAAGAGGCGAAATAGAAGAGAGGAGGGAGGAGGGCGAGTCACCATGAAGCACCATGAAAGCCTCGGTACTGCCGGGGGTGATGATGCGGTACGACTGCTGCTGACGGCCTTGATGCAACTGCCGGTGAGAGCGGCTGCGCGCTGGTGGCACTGGCGGAAATAGCAGCACCAGCAGCACTGGCAGCCCTGCCAGCACTGGCGGGTGGTGCATGGTGTGTGGTCCCTTGGGATCAAGTGCTCCCTGCAGCTGCAGACGCGTCTTGGCGAGCCAGATGGGGTTGGTGAGAAGGACCACCTGGAAAGAGGAGAGTGGAGTGAGGGGAGCAGAGTGGACGAGGGGAGGAGAGTGGACGAGGGGAGGAGAGCAGAGGATCTCGGCTGTATGATGCTGCATGGTGAGGTCCCTTGGGATCCACGGCTCCATGCAGCTGTAGGCGCGACTTGGCAAGCCACATGGGGTTGGTCAGGAGCACCACCTGGTAACGTGGGAAGCAAAGGAGAGGAGGGGAGTGGAGAGGAGGAGGGGGGCAGAGGGAGGGGAGCAGAAACAGCAGCACTGGCAGCAGTGGCAGCACTGGGGGTTGCTGCATGGTGAGGTCCCTTGGGATCCACGGCTCCCTGCAGCTGCAGACGCGTCTTAGCAAGCCACATGGGGTTGGTCAGGAGCACCGCCTGGCAAGGTAGGTAGTGGAGCGGAGGAGAAGAGCAGGGCGGAGGAGGGGAGTGGAGCTCTCTCTGAATAATCACCATGAATGAATGAAGCCCAAGCCGAGACACAAATCACACAGCAAGAGAAACCATGCTCACACTGTGAGGAAGGCAAGAGCAGCCCAGGAAGCGCATACCAGAATGCCAGTCTCAGTGGCAGCCGCCAGATTCACCATTGTTGATCTCCAGCTCTTATCACTTCTTCTCTCCACCTCCACCCCTCCACTGCTCTTGCTGCTTGACTCGATCTCTTTTCCTGCAACTACTCCTTGTTCTCTGCCATCACACCTCCCCGTATTCCCACCGTCCGTGCGAATTGCACCATTGCAACTCCTACCATCAGGAGAACTACCCGCTTGAACCCCCACTCCGGCAGCAGCAGCATCGGTTTCCGAACCGGGTCTATCCCTTTGCCCCCCTCCAGCAGTTCCCCCTTGGATCGAGAATCCTCCTCCTGTATCACCATGAGCAACAGTGGTGGAGCTTAATATTGAACCGTCCTTTATTCTGTCCTCCCTGCAGTTGCTGCTACCACCACCATCACTACCAACACCATGAGCAGCCATGGTGGAGGCACCAATTTGTTCTAAAAGCCTTTCCTTTGAAACGATGGCGCTGCTCTTCTCTGTGCTAGGACACATGCCGGTGCCACTGCTGCTGCCACTGCCATCGTGTCTCCTGTCACTCTTGCTACCACAGCTTCCACATCGTCTGTCACTGTTGCCAATACCGGTGCTGGTCATTGCACTAAAGTAAGCCATGTACCGCTCTTTGGCATGGCTGTACCTGTCCAACGATGACAGGGTGAAAAACACAAGGAAGTAACTGAAACCTAAAAACGAAGAAAGGAGGCGGAGGGCACACAGCAGGGGTAAAGAACTGGTGAGGAGGCACGACAAGGGACGGAGAGAGGGAGGGGTGGGAAGCAGCAAGTGGGGAAGCTGAAAAGCATCAGGTGGGGAGAAACGCCAAACAAAAAGTAAAGAAAGAATGAAAGAACAATGTTAGGAGAAGAGTGGCGAGACATTGGAAAGGGAAGGCAATAGAGGAGGTCGAGCCATAAAAGCCAAGGACTGACAGGAAGAAGTAGAGAGCCCAGGAGAGAGAGGAGCCGACCATCGATGGGTAGAGGCCCGCATACAGGCCTCGAATGCCCTGATGGGGAGGTGAGAGGAGGGGAATGGAAGGGTATGGAAGGGAAGGAAGGGAAGGAAGGTTAGGGGAGAAGAGTTCATTCAGAACTGACGATTTTGAAGCCGACTCAAAACAGGTGCCTGCTTCAGAACTGAACCTCGGATGCACATAACGCGGCAGGGACGGCACTGATCGAAGCTGCACCTCGGATCTAGAGATAGTGCTGATGGGACTGACGACACATGGAATGGCGAATATCATGACATTTAAATAAATAATTAAACCTCGAATCTAGATGGAGGCGACGGCACTGATGACACATGCAGTAGCGAATTTCATGACATACAAATCAAATCTATACCTCGAATCTAGAGATGGTGGTGATGGCACTGACAACGCCACGATAGCGAGGAATTGTGGGATCCCTCCCGTCATTCACTGCACGGAAAGACGCGCGGGGATGGGAGGGGACAGAAGGGGGTGATGAGAGGAGAGGGGGGAGACAGAGAGGGGGAGGACAGCGGGGGATGAAGGACAGCGAGAGAGCAGTGGTGTAGCGTAGGACGTTGATAACGAACCTTGAAACCTGGTTCGCACGATGTCAAGGGGGTGGAGAATGGCGACGGTCGCCATGCCTGCAACGGCTCCTGCGATGGCCTCAGGACGATTCCACTCCTTTTGCCGGCCATTCCCAGCCAGCTGCGATGCTTGCGATCTGTCCCTTGATTCTTCCGAAACCCCTTCTCTCATCGCTCCGGCAGCTAACTTCGGGCTTTCCCCGTCTTTAATCATCCCCGCACTCGTCCAACCTAGGAATGGTTCAAAACGCGCTCATCGGACTCTTCGCATCCAAGGAGTCTCGCAACGCCCACCGGTCTTCCCTCGCTAGCACCTGTTCCTGCAATATCGGTTCATCAACTCCTATCGGAACTTCTGGCGTTTTACTCGTAATCGGAGACTGCTACGGTGAACTGTGACTGAATGGATAGACAATGCGACTGTTTGGATATTATATGTCCTAATGGTCTATGGCTTACATTCGGTATCTCAGGAGCAGATGCGGTTCTGGTGTGGGGTTGAAGGCGGGTGGTGCGGTGGGTAAGGCGGGCGACGAGGGGAAGCGATGGCGACGAGAGGAAGCGCGGGCGACGAGAGGAAGCGCGGGCGACGGGGGGAAGCGCGGGCGACGGGGGGAAGCGCGGGCGACGGGGGGAAGCGAGGGCGACAAGGGGAATAGCGGGCGACAAGGGGAATAGAGGGCGACCAGGGGAATCGCGGGCGACAAGGGGAATCGCGGCCGACGAGAGGAAAGCGCGGGAGGCGTGGGGATTTGCGGGCGACAAGGGGAATAGCGGGTGACAAGGGGAATAAAGGGCGACGAGGGGAATCGCGGGCGACAAGGGGAATAAAGGGCGACGAGGGGAATCGCGGGCGACAAGGGGAATAGCGGGCGACGAGGGGAATCGCGGGCGGCGAGGGGAATCGCGGGCGACAAGGGGAATAGAGGGCGACGAAAGGAATCGCGGGCGACGAGGGGAAGGGCGGGCGACGTGGTGAATCGCGGGCGACGGGGGGAATTGCGGGCGACGAGTGGAATTGCGGGCGACGAGGGGAAGCGAGGGTGACGGCAAGGCGACGCGCGGGCGAGGGGGCGGGAAGCGATACCGACGGGGAAGGCAACGGGAGAGGAAGCGAGAGAGACAGCCTGGGTAAATAGGGCGACGGCCAGGGGAGACAAGGGCGACGGGGAAGGCAAAGGTTGGACCTAGCGTGGCCGATAGCAGGAGACGCGAGGGTGATGGGGAGGGACGACGGGCAGCGAAAGCGAGGACGACAACAGAGGAAGTCTGGGCGACGCGGAGGCTATGGGAGGGGAAGCGAGGGCGGCAGGCAAGGGAAAGTAGAGCGACGGGCAGGGAGAAGCTAAGTGAGGTATGTGAGGGAAAGCGCAGCTCACTCCTGGGTCCGCTGCTTGTTAAACTTGGAAACAAAAATTTGAGAGGTCCAAGAAAGACTAGGAAATAAAAGGACCAGGCAGGCATCGAGCCCACGAATCAGACAGGAAGATTGGTTGAATTGTGCTACTGGTCCTGCCATGTGAGTTATTTTAAATAATTATAAATGTTTTATTTAGCCTTACGTACCTTCACAATTGAACACGCAAAACCGTCGTGCTCTTCCTTGCAGATGTTTTCCAGGCTGGTATTCTTCCCGCTCGGATTTTGTTAGTCAACGGCGCGCCATGTGCTTATGGGGTTCTCAATTGATGCGCTCAAGGAACCCCCAGACTTGAGAGGGAGGCGGTCGCTACCACCTAGGCCGCGATCGTGTCGCTCAACATGTACGAGGGCAGATGCACTGGACCCCACAGGGTTAGTTTGTTATGGTGCGCTTCATTCAGCAAAGAACGGTCGTCAAGGCGTTCCATGAGGAAGGTGTTTGCATCTTCAACCTGGCAGTGATGTCCACGTCTCCACACCATGTGGAATCTGTGGCTGAGAATTCGTGGTAATCTGCGGATACCAAATACAAATGCAAGAAGCTTCGTAATTTCCCTGTTTGACGCGTTGTACTTTTCCACATGGAATGAGCACAACTGGCCGTCAACATCATAAGCTTCACGAATCCAGCAATTTTGGAAATCATGCGAGATGGCTTCAGGAATGCATTCACTGAACTACATCGTTTCGTGCCTCCTATGGCCTGCTACACGGTTGTGGTCCCTTGGAGCTCGTCAGATCGCCGACATCAGAGCTAATCCGAAGCTGGTCTCTCTGGCAGTCAAATCCGGACTAGCAGCTACACTAGCCGCCGTGGTTTGCGTTCTTGAAGACCCCATTCCAGACCTATCAGAGATTGGAATATGGGCTGTGGTGACAGTAGACCTGGTGTTCGAGCCCACTGTCGGATCTTCACTAGGGTAATGGAATGAGACGCTCAGGTATCCGTTTTCTGGCGGATCTTCACCCTGACTGATAACGTTTTCTGGCTGTGCAGCAAAGGCATCAACAGAACGGCTGGTACCCTTTTGGCAGCAGTTCTCGCTTTTGGTGTCAACCACGCCACACCTCACCTTGGGGATGTGAAGCCTCTCTTTCTGGCCGTACTTGTTTTTCTGGGTAGTGTCATTCCGACCTACTACAGATATCGGCCGCCTTTCAAGGATACGTAAGGCCTTATGCTCGGTTAATCTAGATATCTGTTGTGAGACAGTGATCTGACTGTGGCTTGGTGCAGGTGGAGTTATTCCTTTCTCATGATGTCTCTCACCTTCCACATCTTGATACTATCTGGTTACCGCCATGAGGAGAAATTCTATTATCCCTTGGCACGATTGGTAATGATCATGCTGGGATTCACAAGTGTGGGACTGGTTCACATCTTCATTCAGCCGGCATATTCTGGTGACCTTCTCCACAATCTTCTCGTCAGTAAGCTGAAGTTAGTTGCAACTGAGCTGAACAGGTATGGGCTGGTTTTCTGCCTCTACCACTAGCTCACTTTAATCTAGGCTGACGCAATCTTCTTTTCAGGTTTGGGGAAAACTGCGTTCTGGAAAGCAGTTCTACAGACAGTGTAATGAAGGTCTGCAGCGACATCCTTTTTTGCCAGGCTGAAGTAGACAAGCATGTAAGTAACCATCATCTCCTACATGCTACCAATCTGCACACTCTGGCAAGTTCTTACAAATGGTTTTGCTTTTCAGCTATCAGCTATCCAGTTTGAGCCACCACATGGAAGGGTTTTTTATAAGTATCCCTGGAAGTCATATGGTCAAGTTCTGACCAGTCTTCAGAATTTTGGTCTCACCCTTATTACCGTGGAGTCAAGTTTGCATGCTGCTTTTCAAGGCAACTCCTCGCTGAGGCAGGATATGGGAGTGGAGATGAGGAACCTGCTGCATGAGTGTTCAAGGTATGTCCATGCAAGAATCTGAAAAGCACAGTATTGAGCTCGAGCCGTCATAACACCTCAACATATCATGAATGTACAGAGTTATTGTGATGCTAGCTGCATCCATGGGGAGTTTTACATGGCAAGGAAGACCATCACTGGCTCTTCTGCACTCCCAGAACGACCTGTTGAAAGAAAAAGTTATACACAGCTTGCAGCAGTTTGCACATCCCAAGTCAGCAGCGGATATTGGAGGTGCATCTGACACTTCATGTTTCAGTTCAGACATAAGCGCCATGAGCCCAACTGCATGCATTACAGATTACAGGTTGATGGACGGGTTACTCTCTCCACGCTTTGATACTCGCATGTAAGGAGTGCACTTGTCCTGTTCATTCTATGACCTCCTCTTCAGCCCATTCGTCATCTCCCTGCCCAATCTCATCAGCTTCCATTGTTCCCTCTCACCCTCTTACCATATCCCCAATCTCCTCGTGTATTTGATATTCCTTTGTTAATATCTCACCCCCTCTGTGTCTTTCACTCTCTTTGAATCTCCAATTTCCCCACCATCCATTCTCCATCAAACTAAGAATGGCTTACCATCTCTGATTGTAATATGTTTACTTGTATTTTTCTTGTCTTGTGCAGGGAGCATCTGCAGCAAGCCAGACATTTGCACGGTCCTGAAAGTTTTTTATTTTCGACAGTAGCAAGTGCTTCAGTTGTGGACAAAAACACTGCTCTAGCTGCTCTTCCTATACTGCGGGTGCAGTTGAGTATCCTTGAAGTTCTTCCCAATCTAGTCAACTTGGTATACTGTGGAGAACATGGCTGTTGGTTGTAGATATAGTCTGTCTGACAAGAAAGATCGTGTCATTGTTGAGATTTGATGAGAGATGAGATCATGACTACCGTACTAGCAGTCTTATTAATTGAGACCATGAGCTCTAAGCCTATCATGATACAGCACAGGAGTTTTCAGAGGAGAAGCCCGTACATTTGTTCAAGTACCGTAACATAATTATGCCGTACTTCCAACACATGTAACAGGATAAATTAGCACAAAAACTGTAACCAACCAACCTGCATCACAAGGGTTTGTGAAGATACAGCCAGGAAAAGGTGGTGTTGTGTTCCAATGCAAGGAACCACATAAAATGAGCACTTTCTATTGCCCTTAAGTATTTGATGCAGGAGGCTGTACTACTTAGGCTGTTGATTCTACTTAGGCTGGCACAAGGCTTCCACAAAGAGTTTTGCGATGATAGCTGGCTTGGTGGGTGTAGCTTTGCACTGTAGACAGAAGGCATGCTTGTGCTCGATGCTTACTCCCCAGATGCTAGCTCTGTGGGCCAATTGCAAACAGAATCAAAGGGAACAAAAGAAATCAAATTAGGAAATGGACCAGTCTGTGTGCATACAGTGTGAAAAACATAAGCATTGATACCGTACGGATGCTTGACAGCATGTTTGGTACTTCGAAACTGTGAATCCAAAAAACAAAAACCTGGAAAACATGGAGCACTCGCGTGGGGCCGGGGTACCAGGACAGTCGCACATGAAACCTAAAAACGCATGTGTGCATGCATAGACCTCATGTGTGGCGAACCATGAAACACTTACTTTTATGACTTCTGAAAGGAACACAAGAATACCGTGACCTGGAACCTGTCAGGTGATGCTGCAACTTCCCACTTCTCTATAGTCACTCCTCTCGCTTCCTAGGCTCTCTGTGGCATTCACGCTGTTGTTTTCTCCTGAGCACTGGTTACATCCACTTGAGCTCTGTTGTTTTCACCTGCAGGCAGTGCAGCTGGCGCCGGCCACGCAGTGCAGCTTCACCAGGCGCGTGCTGGAGCGGCCGTGGTAGTACCACCCTCCCACAAATGCATTCGCTCCCCTCTGGTGGGTGGCAGGTGGTGGATGGTGGGTGGTGGGTGGTGGTTGGTGAACAGGAGAGGAGGAGGCAGAAGAATTTAGGCGAGCAGCCATGGTGGTACCAACCAGGGCACAAACGCACTCACCCCCACTGGTGGGTGGTGGGTGGTGTTGTGTGTGTTGTGGGTGGTGGAACGAGTGGGAGAGAAAAGGGTTCAGGCGCAGGGGAGGGAATAGGGGGTTGACTGACCTGGGTGGGCGCAGGAGGGAGAGAGGGGGAGTGACTGACCTGGGTGGGCGCGGGAGGGAGAGAAGGGGAGTGACTGACCTGGGTGGGCGCGGGAGGGAGAGAAGGGGAGTGACTGACCTGGGTGGGCGCGGGAGGGAGAGAAGGGGAGCGACTGACCTGGGTGGGCGCGGGAGGGAGAGAAGGGGAGTGACTGGCCTGGGTGGGCGCGGGAGGGAGAGAAGGGGAGTGACTGACCTGGGTGGGCGCGGGAGGGAGAGAAGGGGAGCGACTGACCTGGGTGGGCGCGGGAGGGAGCGCGGCGAGCAGGAAGACGTCGGCAAAGAGCTTTGGATGCCACGCGGGTGGCCGGCCACAGAAGCTGATGGGCGGTGGGGGTCATGGTGGGGTGGTGGGAGGGGGTTGATGGGATGGTGGGGTGATGGGTTGTTGGATGCCACACGGGTGTGCGTGCGGCCACAGAAGCTGATGAGCGGATGGGTGGAAGAGGGGGTTGATGGGTTAATGTGGCGGTGAGGTGGTAGGGTGAGTTTTTGCGGCGCCTCAAACAAAGACGTCGGCAAAGAGCTTAGGATGCCACACGGGCGCACGGCCACAGAAGCTGATGGGCGGATGGGTGGAAGGGGGTGGATGGGATTGTAAGGCGGTGGGGTGATGGGGTGGTGGGGTGATGGGGTGATGGGGTGGTGGGGTGATGGGGTGATGTGGTGATGGGGGAAGTGATGGTTTGGTGGAGGGAGAGAGAGAGGGTCGAAAGGGGCAGGTGAGGTAGAGGGTGAGGTAAAGGGTGAGGTAGAGGAAGAGGAAGAGGAAGAGGAAGAGGAAGAGGAAGAGGAAGAGGAAGAGGAAGAGGAAGAGGAAGAGGAAGAGGAAGAGGAAGAGGAAGAGGAAGAGGAAGAGGAAGAGGAAGAGGAAGAGGAAGAGGAAGAGGAAGAGGAAGAGGAAGAGGAAGAGGAAGAGGAAGAGGACGAGGGAGAGGAAGAGGAAGAGGGAGAGGAAGAGGAAGAGGAAGAGGGAGAGGAAGAGGAAGAGGGAGAGGAAGAGGGAGAGGTAGAGGAAGAGGAAGAGGAAGAGGGAGAGGGAGAGGATTGGAAGAGCAAAAGGAGGAAGGAAGGGGAGGGAGGCTCACGCGCAGAAGACATGGCCGTGAAAGAGAGACACCACCCAGTGCGAGTGGTCGTGAGGGGAGGGGAGGACAGTTAATCAGTAATTTACGCACACGCAAAGGAGGAAGGGGCGGCACAACTCACGCGCAGAAGACATGGCCATGAAAGAGCGACACCACCCAGTGCGAGTGGCCGTGAGGGGAGGGGAGGACACTTAATCAGTAATTTACGCACACGCAAGGGAGGAAGGGGCGGCACAACTCACGCGCAGAAGACGTGGCCGTGAAAGAGAGACACCACCCAGTGCGAGTGGCCGTGAGGGGAGGGGAGGACACTTAATCAGTAATTTACGCACACGCAAAGGAGGAAGGGGCGGCACAACTCACGCGCAGAAGACGTGGCCGTGAAAGAGCGACACCACCCAGTGCGAGTGGCCGTGAGGGGAGGGGAGGACAGTTAATCAGTAATTTACGCACACGCAAAGGAGGAAGGGGCGGCACAACTCACGCGCAGAAGACATGGCCGTGAAAGAGTGACACCACCCAGTGCGAGTGGCCGTGAGGGGAGGGGAGGACACTTAATCAGTAATTTACGCACACGCAAGGGAGGAAGGGGCGGCACAACTCACGCGCAGAAGACATGGCCGTGAAAGAGCGACACCACCCAGTGCGAGTGGCCGTCCGCCTCCTTGGTGCCGAAGCACGTGCATGCCGCTGCTGTGTCGCTGCCGTGCCTGTGGTATGGGGGACGAGAAGGGAAGAGGGAGAGAGAGCACAGAGGCGGGTTATTGAGGCGCCTCAAAAGCCCTCCTTGGTGCCAAAGCACATGCATGCCGCTGCTGTGTCGCTGCCGTACCTGTGTGGGAGAGGGAGAGAGAGGGAGAGAGGGCAGGGGTGGATTTCTTAGGCGCTTCGGAATCTCTCCTTGGTGCCATTGAGAACACATGCTCGCCCTCTCACTGGCACAGCGTACACCGCATGCAGCTGGTTACCCTGTTACAGGCGCACCCACTCATCAGTACACCACTTCCATTCCAGCCAGTTACCTCGTAACCAGCGCAGCCACTCCCAGTAAGATGATGCAGCCAGTTACCCTGTTACCAGGATGCCCATGCACCGGGACAACACGTCCATCCAGCCGACCTGTCTCCAACAGAACAGATCAGAGTTCCCTCCTCAAACATGAGACGATTTTTAAGGCATTTCAAAACCCCTCTCACCCTGCCCCCCGCTCACCGTTACACCTCATGCAGCTGGTTACCCTGTGACCAGACTGCCAGCACAGTATACCCCATGCAGCTGGTTACCCTGTTACCAGACAGCCAGCCCACAAGCACTCACCGTTACACCTCATGCAGCTGGTTACCCTGTTACCAGACTGCCAGCGCACAAGCACTCACCAGTACACCACGTCCAGCCTGACCTCCTCCACCAGCGATTGCGCTTCTTCTGAGGCGCCTCAAATCCAAAGTACACGTAAAAAACTCGCTCAAGCCGATGTCACCCACTCTCCGCTACCCCATGTGCAGCTGATTACCTGGTTACCAGCTCTCTCTCGACCACTCACCAGTACATCACGTCAAGCCTGTCCTCCTCCACCATCGATTTCCCTCCTATTGAGGTGGTGCCTCAAGCCAGACACAGCCTTTGTGAGGGGGGGGGGGGGGGGATTCCCGCTCACCCTGCTGGTTACCTGGTTACCACCCAACCACTCACCGGTACACCACGTCCAGCCTGTCCTCCTCCACCAGCGATTTCGCCCCGCCTGCTCCTCCCGCACCTCCCCCTGCCGCCCCTCCCGCTCCCGGAGGCGTCTCATGCCCCGCACCCCCCACCACCACACTCCGCCGCACCATGGACCGCGCACTGATCAGCGACGCCCTTCCCGTCCCAAACCCCTTCCCCCCCATTCCCGCTCCTCCCGCTCCTCCCACTCCTCCTGCTCCTCCCGCTCCTCCCCCGACTCCCATTCCCCCGCTCACCATTGCCCCCATCATTCCTGCCAACCCTCCCGCCATTCCCCCCGCTGCAGCCGCCGCCCCACCGCGCACCTCCCTAATCTCCTCCGTATCCGAACTAGACGTGTATCCAGCAGCAAGAGCAGCAGCAGCGGGGTTGAGAATGCCAGAAGCGGCGGCGGGCAGCAGCAGCAGCGGCAGAGGCGGCGGCAGCCTTGCGCTCGTCCTTCCAGGGGAGGTGGTGCCAGGGCGAGCCGGGCGGCAGAGTGATGCCGAGGAAGTCGAGCTCCGAGCGCAGGCGGAAGAAATCCTCATCGTTCATCCAGGGGAGGGCCTCGAGGCTGTGGGGGGAGGAAGGGGGAGGGCGGGGAGGGGGGGGGTGAGCGGGTGTGGAAGGCAGGGCAGTTGAGCTCGGAGCGCAGGCGGAAGAAATCCTCATCGTTCATCCAGGGGAGGGCCTCGAGGCTGGAGATGAGGGTGGGAGGGGAAAGGATAGAGGGCAGGAAGGTGGGCGCGGGAAGAGGGAGACAGGGGTATAGAGGCAAACGAGTTCCCGAGCACACACGGAAGAAATCCTCATGGTTCATCCGGGGCAGGGCTTTCGAGACGCCTCAAAAGAAATCCTCATCGTTCATCTGGGGCAGGGCGTCCAGACTGGGGTGTGAGGGGGAGAAGGGAGGGAGGGTTTGAGAGGCACGTGAGGAAGTGAAGTGTACAGGGAGGGAGGGGAAGGAAGGTGGTGTGCATGGAGCAAGCAATTGACTGCATGTGGACGGGTCACGGGAGGACCTGTGTGTTCACTCAGGAAAGGTAAGGCTGTACCTATGGTACTGCCATACCCGTGGTACTGCCATACCCGTGGTACTGCCATACCCGTGGTACTGCCATACCCGTGGTACTGCCATACCCGTGGTACTGCCGTACCCGTGGTACTGCCGTACCTATGGTACTGCCATACCCGTGGTACTGCCGTACCTATGGTACTGCCGTACCTATGGTACTGCCAACCCATGGTACTGCCGTACCCGTGGTACTGCCGTACCTATGGTACTGCCATACCCGTGGTACTGCCGTACCTATGGTACTGCCGTACCCGTGGTACTGCCGTACCTATGGTACTGCCGTACCCGTGGTACTGCCATACCCGTGGTACTGCCGTACCCGTGATACTGCCATACCCGTGGTACTGCCGTACCCGTGGTACTGCCGTACCCGTGGTACTGCCGTACCTGCGGCACAGCGCATTTACGTCATACCTGTGGTGTGGTACCATGGGGCCGTACCTGTGGTACCATGGGGCCGTACCTGTGGTACCATGGGGCCGTACCTGTGGTACCATGGGGCCGTACCTGTGGTACTGCACGACAGTGAGCACGCGGGAGAAGGTGGCCTCATCACAGTCCAGCATGAACGACACCTCCTCGTCCTCCGATGCCTCCTCTGGCGCCTGCTGGGGCGGGGCACAGCACAGGGGATTGCTGAGATTTCTGAAGCCGCTCAACTGGAACGCAGTGCAGCTCAAGAGTGGTCCAGCACGCCACGACACGACACGACACTGAACCTCCTCGTCCTCTGGTGCCTCCTCTGACGCCTGCTGCCACACGAGCCACACAGGGTCAGTGCAGGGTTGGCTCATGATAAATGTTTCTTTTGTTATCTTGATTATCATTGTGGTTGTTGCTACTATTGGTTTTTTTTGTACATATAAGCCAAAGTCCAAACCAACCAAACCCCGAAACACCTACAACTTGCACATAATCATGCCCTATTGATGCTAGGTGCATATAAAAATTGTCTCATTACTGCTGCAACAAGGCCCAGGACCACGTGGGAAATGGTGAATGGGATTGAAATTTTTGGCGCTTAGAAAATCATGTGCGCACCACACGTGAAGAGAACAAAGCCTAGTCTTAAAGCCTGGTGTGAGATTGCTTGATCAGCCCGGCTGCAATATGAGATTGTTCTTGCCATGGCAAGCCATGGATGAAGCTCCTCACCACACCTTGGCACACCACACCGCACCACACTTAAGCACACCACACCGCACCACTCTCCTTGCCTTTCCACCAGACGCGCCACCAACACACCATGGCACGCAGCAGCACAATGACACATATCACATCACGTCACGTCAATCCATGCCACGTCATCAGATGCCACGTCACCTGCAGCTTGCCATCTGGCATGGAGGCCTCCAGCTGCTTGCGGAAAAAGGGGATCTTCATGAGCAGCGCCCTGGTCACGCGGAACAGTTGCATCTGCAGGGGGGGAGAGCGGGTGGGGGGAGAGGGGGGGCAGAAACGGGGGAAGTATGAGGGGGAAAGACATGATGGGGAAGGTATGAGGAGGAAGAAGGGGATCTTCATGAGCAGCGCCCTGGTCACGCGGAACAGTTGCATCTGGGTGTGGGAGCGGGGGGAGGGGGGAAGGGGGAGGGGGGATAAACGCGGGGAAGGAGGGGGGAAGGCATAAAGGGGAGGCATGAGGAGGAAAAAGGGGATTCTCATGAGCAGCGCCCTGGTGACGCGGAACAGTTGCATCTGGGTGGAGGAAGGGCAGGCATGAACGCGGAAGCAGCAAGGGGGGAGGCACAAGGGGAAAGGCATGAGCGCGGAAGGCATGAGTGGGGGAAGAAATTATGAAAAGGCATGAGGGGATCCATGAGCAGCGCTCGCTCTGGTCATTTTTGAGAATTCTCAAAAACCAGGAGGAAGGGGATTTCCATGAGCAGCGCTCTGGTCATTTTTGAGAATTCTCAAAAACCAGGAGGAAGGGGATTTGCATGAGCGGCGCTCTGGTCATTTTTGAGAATTCTCAAAAACCAGGAGGAAGGGGATTTCCACGAGCAGCGCTCTGGTCACACGGAGCAGTTGCATTTGGTGGGGAGGTAGGGAGATTGCACCAGGTTAGGTTAGGCATGAGGGGGGAAAAAAATGAGAGGGGGGAAGTATCAATGGGAGAGACGCCAGGGAGGGGGGGGCTCTGAAGGGGGGAGTCCTGAAGGTGTGGGCATGGGGGGAAGCATGAGGGGAAGGCATGAGAGGGGAGGCATGAGGGGGAAGCATGAGGGGAAGGCATGAGAGGGGAGGCATTGGGAGGAGTGGAGTGGAGTGGCACGAGGGGGAGGAATGAGGGGTAAAGGGCATGAATGGGGAAGATGCATACGATGATGAAAGGGAATCGTACAGTAAGGGGGAGGCACGAGGGGGAGGAATGAGGGGTAAAGGGCATGAATGGGGGAGATGCATACGATGATGGAAGGGAATCGTACATTGAGGGGGAGGCACGAGGGGGAGGAATGAGGGGGGAGGCTTCAAGGGGGAGGCATGAGGGGGGAGACATGAGGGGGGAGACATGAAGGGTGAAGACATGAGGGGTGAAGGGGCACGAAGGATGGGGGGAGAGGAATATGATGATGGAAGGGAATCATACATTGAGGGGGAGGCACGAGGGGGAGGAATGAGGGGGGCGGCATGAGGGGGGAGACATGAGGGGGGAGACATGAGGGGGGAGACATGAGGGGGGAGACATGAGGGGGGAGACATGAGGGGGGGAGGGATGAGGGGGGGAGACATGAGGGGGGAGACATGAGGGGGGGAGACATGAGGGGTGAAGGGGCACGAAGGATGGGGGAAGAGGGGAAAGGGGGGGAGGAAAGCTGGGGAGGTAAATGTGAGTGGCGGTTGGCGGGGGGTGGGGGGGGGGGGAGAGCGGCATAGGGAGGTGGTAGGGGGGAGGAGAATGGGCGTGGCATGGCTAGCATTATGGGCGATAAGGCTGACTGGAGATGATCAAGGGGAGTGGGAGAAGAAAGGAGATGAAACAGGAAAGGGGAAGGGAAAGAAGGGGAGGGGAAAGAGAGGAGTGAAGGGAGAAGAAGACGGAGATAAACAGGGAGAGAAGGGAAAGGAGACAACAGCGACAGCGAGGGGAGTGAAAACAGCGAGAACTTAGGAGGAAAAGGGCAACAGGGACCAAGAAATGCGTACAATGCTACCACATTATCTCATGAAGTCTACGAGTACACGACTGAACCCTAATTGCTTCGTGTTACACTTCTTCGTGATTGATACCTTTTCCTATTTCGCGTCAATCCTTCTACAGAGCTTTTATCACATGAATAAACATCAAACGCGCGTGCACTCCGACGCACCTTGGGCCCCACGTAAACCGCAATCCCGCTGACACCAACGCTCTCCGTGAAACTCCCCACGGATCTTGACGGAGTCAGCATCGAGTTCAGTTGTGCAATTAACGAAGGTGCCGATAACGGGCGCGGCAAGCCCCCAACCTGTTGGTACCCCATCAAACCCCCCGTGCTGTTGCGGCTAAACGCTTCGGCATCCTCGCCTTCGAATCCTTCAGGAAGCTTCACGTCGCTGGCGAACGAAACCACGCGATGTGTGTTCGGCGAAAGTAACAGCCCTCGCTTGCCCCGCGCGTCGTAGCTCGTGCTCACGCGCATCGGCCGCGGCTCGTCCGCGCCCGCGGCGCCTTTAACGCGCTCGTAATGCGGAGCCGTGGTGGATCGATGCACGCGCTGCAAAGCGGGAGCCTCTTCCTCGTCTTCCTCCGCTTCCCCTCCCCCTTCCCGCTCTCCAACACCCCCATCCTCCCCCTCTCCCTCGTTCCCACCCTCCTCGTCCTGCTCCCGCTCCGCCGCCCGCTCCTTTCTCGCAGCCGCGCTCTTGCGCGTGGAGGCGGAGGGCGCGGACGAGGCGGAGGGCGCGGACGTGGCGGCGGTGGAAGGTGGTTCCGCGGGGGCGGCTGCTAACTCCGCCGCGTCGGCCGCGCCATCGTCCGACGCCGTGGTGACGGCGGAAGCGCTCGACAGCGAGTCCGCGGACGAGTTCGCCTTATGACGCGACCGTCGGGAGCCACCGCTTTGCGAGCCGCTAGCACGCGCGGACTGTTCGCGGGTACTGGATTGGTCTACGGCGTTAGTGGTAGTAGTAGGCTGTTCGGGGGAGGAGGCGTTGGAGCGAGGCGACTTGGGCACGCGGAGGCTGCCTGGCTGCGAGGCGCGCGACGCGCGCGACGACGAGGAGGCGCCGGAGGAGGAGGACTTGCGCGGCTCCTTCGTGCGGACGGGCTTGAAGGAGCGGGCGCTTCCGCTCTCGCTGGAAGGGCTGGGATTGGTGGAGAGACCCGCCGGCGGTAACTCTCCGTTGGCCTCCAGCGCGGCTGCGTGTTGCGGGGTTGCGGGGTTGCGGGGTTACCGGATGGCAGGGTTGCGGAACAGGGATAAGGAGCAGGGATGGTGAGCAGGAATGGACAGGGAAAAAAATAATATTGTGAAGAGGTTTCGTTTGAAGGTTTGGACGATTAGCGCGAAAGGTGGTGAGAGAGGACAGGAGGAGGAGAGGAGAGGGAAAGGAAACAGGGGTAACAAGTCGGATGGAGGCACGCAAGCAGGCATGGGAAGCAGGTATGGAGGTAGGGTCGTATTAACATGTATCACTACAACATGGGAAGCAGGCATTGGAAACAGGTAGAATGCAAGTGCAGAGAGAGACAAATTGCGCGACGGTCTAGAAGAGCAAGGGAGAAGAGGCAGGGCGACATGCTGGAATGGAGAGAGAGGAAGTGAAACGGCGGGAAAAGCGGGCGTGCAGCGATGATTGAGGCATTATCGTACCGTGACCGATGGTGACTGGCATTGGGCCCGTCGCTTCAGCTGGCGATGCTCCTAGCACTGGTGGCGGGACTCACGGCAAAACACTGTTGCTCGCACACAAGCTTTACCAGGTGGTGGTGAAGGACGGTGACCTAACCTAACTAAACCGCCGCTTTCTTAGCTCTCTGACTGTACAGTTTGTCTGCCACGTGCTCGGACGTGTCGACCGTAAGTCGCTCTCTAGGGCGTTGGCGCGAAAGATATCACCATTTCGACGAATCAAATTCAGTCATGCAGCAATGCCGACCATTGCAAGGGCTATGTGGCTGGGTACGAAGAGCTATGGCGTGGCGTGGGTGCGCTTCTAAAAATTGGGAAGACTTCGTCACTCAGTTTATTCCTTAGGGGAGACTTCGTGACTGCTCGAACCACACTTCATGAAAGCGCGAAAGGTAGCAGTGTGGTGGAGTGAAGTACGGACAGATAGGAGGACCATCCCACGCCAAGCGACTTGATGCACGGGAAGATAGGACCACTGGGTAGCTTTCGCAAACCCAGTTACAGTTACGGATCAAGCTCGATATTGTGTCTGCAAACCCGCGTTGGTCGGGTGTACCAACGGCCACGACAAAGCGCGTAGCTTTTACGAAAGCGACAGCATCTCGTCTTCGCAATATGCAGTACAATATATTTCACTCGGTAGCGTCGGTACAGCATCTCGTCTTCGCAATATGCAGTCCAGTCAATCGACGACTTTCTCGACGGTACAGTAACACGACGCGGGAAATCGTCGATCTCAGTCGATTTGACGGTTGAGCGGCGCAACTTGTACCTGCCAGGCTGGATCCCAGTCGCAAACTTGCTCCGTCAAGTGATGGTGAATCGAAATCGAAATGACTTCGCGTTTAGATTCCACAACGCGTACAACACCATTTTACGCCTGGCCCGCAGTATGCCCACCACGCGAAAATTGGTATAGGGTTTGGACTGCTAGGCAGTGGTGAAGATTAAGTGCAAAACTTTGGTCTTTACTTTCACCACCAAATATACGACCAGCATGGAGTTCTGTCAGTACTCCGCAATAGGAACACTTTGTTCTTTATCGCCATCGATTTTGTTCAAGTGTCAGGGAGGTAGAAACATCGACCATGACGGTTTTGTCGGGAGTAACTTTACACACACCCTGGGCAGCAAACTGCCACGTCAGTTAGTCAAGCAGCGCTCTCGCGCTCGCATCAGCAAATGAGCTGGCGGGCCCCAATTGGCTGACATCCACTGCTGCATCCTCAGGCACTGTCAACCCCACGAGCGCATCAGCATGCCGGCGACTCCCCGACATGCTCCTTTCCTCCTCCCTCCACACACCCCCTCTGCCGCTCCCTGACCCACCCACACTCACAAGCCCGCTCCTCCCCACACCTTCCCCCAACCCCCCATTGCCGTGTCCCAGAACCTCCCCTTCGGAATTCCCTGAGCCCGCCTGCCAACTGGCGCTGCCCTGCCATTGAAGCGCCTCGGAGACTGTGCCTGCCTGCCACCTGGCGCTGGCCTGAGATGGAGCCTCCCCCAGCTGCGCCCGCGCGACGGCCAGCGCGTCGCGTGCTGACGTGGCGCCACGCATGCTGGAGATGTTGTGCACGTCAGCACCGGAGATGGTGGGGGCTGCGAGGAGAGAGGAGGCTGCTGACCCACCCTTTATAGACACGTCCTGGGAGGGGGGGGGAATGTACAAGGGGAGGGGGAGGGGGAGGTAAAAGGGGAGGGGGAGGGGGAGGTAAAAGGGGAGGGGGAGGGAGGTACATGTGGGGACAAGGCGGAGATGTTGTGCACATCAGCACCGGAGACGGTGGGGGCAGTCAGGAGAGAGGAGGCGGCGGAGCCGCCCTTTATGCACACGTGCTTGGGGGGGGAGGAAGGGGAGGAAAGGTAAAAAACGGGATAATCCGAGGCGGTCTAAAGTCCTTTACATGTCCTTTATGGCTTCACTTTTGAATTGTTTCATGAACGGCTCACCTTCTTCCAGAAGCTGTGGGAGGAGCGCCGCATGGCGTCATGGTCCAGGAAGAAGACGACAACGCTGATGTCATCGTGGTAGTCCCGCCGCTGCCCGGACGGCATGCGCAGCAGGTCGCTGTACAACATCTCCGTCTTCTCTGCCGCCCGCTGCAGCGCCGTCCGGATGAGCTGGCGAGCCACGTCCTGTAGCAAAGGGCGGCAGTGCAAGCAGTGAAAGCAATGGTGGCATTGTGAGGACAGTGGCATTGTGAGGACAGTGGCATTGTGAGGACAGTGGCATTGTGAGGACAGTGGCATTGTGAGGACAGTGGCATTGTGAGGACAGTGGCATTGTGAGGACAGTGGCATTGTGAGGACAGTGGCATTGTGAGGACAGTGGCATTGTGAGGACAGTGGCATTGTGAGGACAGTGGCATTGTGAGGACAGTGGCATTGTGAGGACAGTGGCATTGTGAGGACAGTGGCATTGTGAGGACAGTGGCATTGTGAGGACAGTGGCATTGTGAGGACAGTGGCATTGTGAGGACAGTGGCATTGTGAGGACAGTGGCATTGTGAGGACAGTGGCATTGTGAGGACAGTGGCATTGTGAGGACAGTGGCATTGTGAGGACAGTGGCATTGTGAGGACAGTGGCGATGGTGGTGGTGGTAAGGATGGTGACAAAAAGGTTGAAAATCACTTTGCAAGGGCAACCTTGGGCCTTCATTACAGTCTTGATGCTTCTTGAGACGCAAGGGACCAGCCTTCCTAGGGCTGCTCGCCACAATGTTGACGGCCTCCTGGTTGGAGAGGAACTCAAACAGCCCGTCCAAGGCCACGATGACAGCCAGCCAGCCAGCCCATCTGCACCGCTCTGCTCTGCACCCCACTTCCACCAAACCCGCTCGCTCACCTTTCTAGGGCTGCTTGCGACGATGTTGACGGCCTCCTGGTTGGAGAGGAACTCAAACAGCCCGTCGGAGGCCACGATGACAAACGAGTCGTGAGGCGAGAAGACGCGCACGGCCACGGAGGGGTCAGCCGAGATGAGCGGCGGGTTGAAGGGCTCGGGCACTCGGAACCGCGACACCAGAGGCTCCCGGTTGAAATCAGTGGATTTCAGGTACAGGTCGCCAAAGGCCTTTGTGACCTGGGGAAGGGGTAGGGGTTCGGGGAAAGAGGGTAGGGGGTAGGAAGTAGGTGCAGGGGTTGGTCGGGGAGGAAAGCGCATGAAAAGAGGGGCTCTTCCTGTTGGTGTTGTGAGGCGAGAAGACGCGCACGGCCACGGAGGAATCGGCGGAGATGAGCGGCGGGTTGAAGGGCTCGGGAACTCGAAAACGCGACACCAGAGGCTCCCGGTTGAAATCAGTGGACTTGAGGTACAGGTCCCCAAAGGCCCCCAAAGGCATTTGTCCCCTTGAGGTAGAGGTCCCCAAAGGCTTTTGTGACCTGAGGAAGGGGTAGGGTAGGTAGGGTGGTGTAGATAATGGAAGTGGGGATTAGGGACAGAGCCACAGCCACAGGAAAGGAGAGGCTCGCAGTTGAAGTCGGTGGACTTGAGATACAGGTCGCCAAAGGCCTTTGTGACCTGCAGTTTGCGGGAGTGAGGAAGCAGAGCATGAAAGGGGAGGGGAATGAGGAGTGGGACAGTGGTGAAAAAGGGGGTCGCAGGTGAAGATGGTAGCTTGACTTGACAGAGGTAAAAATGAGTGTGCTTGCCCTCCTCACTACAAATACCTTGTCTCCTCCTCACCATGACTTTGCCCTTCACTCAGAAGCGGCCGCGGCGTTCAACAACGGCGTCGGGCATGTCGGCATGCTCGGCGATTTACTTCTCTCTGATGTAGCTTGAAAGAGGTACGAGGCACACTTGTGCGGATGCAGCTTGACCGGGGTTCAAGTGAAACGCATGCGGATGTAGCTTGAAAGAGGTTCAAGTGACTTGGCTCGCCTCCTACCCACAAATAGCTCACCATGACTTTGCCCTTCACTCGAAACCGGCCGCGGCGCTCGACAACGGCGTCGGGCATGTCGGCATGCTCGGCGATGTACTTCTCTCTGATGGCCGGCACTGACAGGTTGTGGTCTGTGGATAGCTGCACTGCCCGACACTCCACTCCGTCTGATACTTGCCGCACCTGCTTGGAAGGAGGTGGGAGAGGGGGAGGGGGAGGGGGTCAAGGGAAAGTTGCACCACCTGACAGTCCACCCGTCTGAAACTCACTTGCCGCACCTGCTTGGAGGGAGGTGGGAGAGGGAGAGGGGAGTGGGGAAGGTATGTTGGCATTCTCTGCGATGTACTTCTCTCGGATGGCCGGCACTGACAGGTCGTGGTCTGTTGACAGCTGCACTGCCTGACACCCCACTCCGTCCAACACTTGCCACACCTGTTTGGAGGGTGGTGCGGGTGGGGGGGTTGGGTTCCACTCATTCTATCCTTGTGAAGTGTGCTGGCTGAAGATGTATTAGTCCCTCAGAGCCTCGCTGAATTATGTCATCATCAGATTGAGTGTGCCGGCCTGTTGTCTTTTTGCGAACATGCGTGTGAGCATGGAATGGTATGCGGGCATGAAAGAACATATATTTCATGCTTATAAAAGTGTGTAAATGATGAGTCATGATGTCAAATGTCTGTGTCGAGTCCATAGCAAATTTTCGCTAGACGCGTGTCGTGTGCGTTTTTCTATTTTGTCAGATGTCGATCGTTCAGCGTGTCACAAATGTGTGCAACAAGCTTCCAAGAACCAAGAAAGAAAATATCTAAAAGAACCGGAGCCTTAATTTTGAAACTCAAGTGATTCCAAGCTCGCCAAAACGATAAAAACCAAGATAGTGAGAATAGTTACATTACATTGTGTGTTGTATCATAGTTATTGGTGTAGACCCTTGTGGTATGTGGTTTCCACACGTTTTGAGGTTGGAGACTGTGTGACACTGTTCCAACTCTCTAGTCTTCGGCTTTTGGGGTTTGTAAAAGCTGTGAGTCATTCTCAACTCGTTACTTCTTCCTAAGTTGTGCTCTAAGCCTGTAGTTGCTGCTAGACCGCCACTCAGTTGAACTACTCGTACGTCGTCATTTCATTATCAAATCGAGTGATTTGATGTATGGCCATTTCAAAAGCGGATATTCCAATAACCAACCTGAGAAAGACCACGCAATCAGCCAGGTCCACCTGACCCACCTTAGCGCAGCAGTCACCAACAGTGGCGACCCAGATGGCGCAACCGCAAAGGGTGATGAGATGAGGGCAGCCAGCCACGGTACACGACTCGACATCTCAAACGCACCTGGCCCAGCTTGGCGAAGTAGCTTTGATGCGCATCAGAAGAACAAGCAGCAGCTTGCCTGCCCGCATACAACCAGACCCACAACACACCTGGCCCAGCACGGCACAGCAGTCGCCGAAATTGGCAACCCATATGGCCGTGGGGGTGTTGAGAGCAGCCACGGAGCACGACACTTGAGACGAGGCATGAGAAGAATAGGCAGCAGCCTGCCCGCATACGACCAGACCCACCTGGCCCAGCACGGCACGGCAGTCGCCGACATTGGCGACCCAGATGGCCGTGGGGGTGATGAGAGCAGCCACGGAACATGCCCCCACCATGGCCAGGTGTGGGCTCTCCTCAAACGCCTCCCTCACGATCGCTGCCAGCTGCCTCTCTGTTGCGTCAAAGCCCCTCCGCAACGCCTCCACTGATACACCATTGCCCTCCGTGCACTCGCCTGGGGGCAGAGTGGAGCAGAGGGGTGAAGAGGGATGAAGATAGGTGAAGGGGAGTGAAGAGGGGTCAAGGGGAGTGAAGAGGGGTGATGAGGGCAGCCAAAAGAGGTGAAGGGGTGTTTTCGGCACAAACAATCATGATGCTGTTGTACAATCGCTCACTCATGATGTTGTTGTACAGTGTTTCACGCAGAAACTCCGCGGCCTCGCTCCCGTTGTGCCCATCGTGAATTCCAATGAACACCCCACGGCTCGACGATTGCACCTGTGCGCACACACACACGCACACACACCCCGGGGAAGAGATTGGGGTAACAGCACATCGTTGGTTGATCAATGCTCAACAAAAAGGATCGAACCACGAGTCGGTAAAAACAGAGAGAAATAACGAATGAATGGCGAAAAAAATAAAAGGAAAGAAGCAACTCGAGAAACCAACTGACTCATCTCCATGATATCGTTGGCCTCATACATCGCGAGCAAGAATCGGCCCTTGTGCTCTCAAGGCCCTTGTGCTCTCAAGGCCCTTGTGCTCTCAAGGCCCTTGTGCTCTCAAGGCCCTTGTGCTCTCAAGGCCCTTGTGCTCTCAAGGCCCTTGTGCTCTCAAGGCCCTTGTGCCATTCGAGCCGTTGCACCTGCCTCTCTCCTGCACCTCTCCTGCCTTTGCCTGTCACACTCGCATTCGCATGCACCTCCATGACACACTTCACCACACCTCACAAAAAAAAAAAAGCCAACACACTCACCTCGACAGTGTCCTTTATGATATAGTTGGCCTCATACATGGCCAGGGAGAATCGCCCCAGGTGTGGTGCGTGCTTTCAAGGGCTTTGTGCCACACGGGCCGCCGCGCCTGCC